TCCACCACCACCAGACCCTCTTGGATACAAACTGCCATTATCTTTTTTTTTCAGAATTATTGCTATGATTTCCAAACTGACCACTGTACTCATTCTTAATTCCCTCTAATTCATATCTATACTGTAAAGAGATGAATTCTTCACAATCTGATTAAACTCTACCTGTCTTAAGTCTTCTAACGGCATTTCACTACTTTCAGGATAAGGACAATACCCCTAAGATGAACTGTGGGAAGCCATGTGCCCAGTCTCTCCTACCCTCCCCAGTCCCACTTCACTCTGCATTCACTTTTGCTTTTCTTACACCAATCAAACTGGCTATCTTTTTATCTCCTGAGGGTGTTGTGCCTCAATCCTAAACAAAACGTCCGCACATTCTTCTCTCTGCCTAGAATTCTTTCCTCTTCTCTGAATCTAATTGCCCCCATCCACCCCTCAAATCACAGCTCAGTTAACATCTAACCCACAAAATCGTCTATGACCTCCCTGATTAGGCCAAATCTGGATAATATGTTTCTCCTAGCATCATTTACCTCCACACATCTGCATTTTCACAGTTGCAACTGCACATTCATTTCTGTGTCTATGTGATTAATGTGGAGGGCAGGGCAATCTCTGGTTTAGCTTCCTGGGTAGTACTGCTAGTACCCAGAACAGTGCTTGGTACCTGGTAGGAGCTAATGAATATCTGTGCAATGAATGAATGAATATTCATAAAGGGCAGAGATTGTTCCAGTGAGGGATTCATACTTAGCTGCCATTGGGAGTAAACGTAATGCATGTGAGTTTATAATATAAGTTGAAGTCACTGTAAGATGTGACAGTGTTGATTTCAGCTTTCAATTATGTAATAACTAATAGAACAAGTCCTGTTTACATTTGAAAAGGCATGTGCTATTTTTCCACTGGAGAACCCCCAGGGACCATACATTACCCATAAAACTTTGCTTCTTTGGTTTAGCATTTTAAGTGGCATCTACTTTATATAAATATCTGCAGTTCTGGATTGTGGGAGCAATTGAGCCAGCTTGTTCCCCAATTAACTGTCAGAATTTTCAGCTGGATTTAGATTGGTATGTCCCTTTGGCTATGATTGTTGTCCAACTTTTTTCTTAATTTTCTAATACTGCTCTTCCACAGCAGAATGTAAATACAAGGCTTAAAGAATTTGAAAATAGAGGGGCTAGGGTTGTGGCTTAGCGGTGCAGCGCTTGTCTTGCACGTGTGGGGCACTGGGTTCGATCCTCAGCACCACATAAAAATGAATTAACAAAATAAAGATATTGTGTTCATCTACAACTAAAAAAAATCAAAAAAAGAATTTGAAAATAGAATAGGAAGAATATTCAGTGGTGCTGTTTTATTACTTCCACAGTTGTCAGGGACTAGAAGGAAATTCTCCTTCAAAGATTAGCCTGACAGCCCCCTGGGAGACATCCTGCCTGGGAGGCATCCTGCAGCTACTTATCTCACCTGAGACATCCTGAGGCCACCTATCTTCCTGAAACCTATCTTCCTGAAACATCCTGCGGTTATCTCACCTTGTGCAGACATCCAGCAACTGCCGATAAGAGAGCTTCCCCATTCCCACCATATAAATACCCCTGTGTGAACAATAAAAGTTTGCAGCTTGATCAGAACTTTTGTCTTGCTGTCACCTTTCGTGTCTCTTGTCCCTTCATTCCTCCCCATCTAGGTTCGCTGCCCACGTTGATGTGTCCTGCCGGACGGGACACACAGTGTACATGCTGTAGTTATTGCAAAATGATAGTTCTGAAAATCATGTGGTTAGTAATTGTCTAACATCATACATTATCTTATAATTATTCTGGGAATAATGTTAAGCCAAGTCAAGTCATGTCAGTTCTGCATAGTGAGAAACTGGATGTAGATAAAGTTTTAATCATTTCATGACAATTTCATAATTACTGCGGGAAGCAAGAATAACAACACTCAGTTTCATATCTTTCAAATCTCACTGTTCACCTCAAGCCCTCTTATCTTAATCAGGACTTGGGAACAAGGATTCATAGAATTATTTCATGAAAAGATAGACTGTGCATTTGTATAAATGCAACTACTGTATTGCAATTAAGCAACATACACACTGCTGCTGTGTACCATCAGCAAAGTAAATAAAATGCTGATCTGTGCTTACAGTTTGGAGATGATTCCCCTGGAGGGACAGCCATAGCTTGCTTGTCTTGTAGAGATGGAAACTTAAAGTTCAATTAATAGTGAATGTATTAAAAATTACATTATGATTTAAGCCAAGCAATTCAATATGAGGGCATAAGTAAATTAATTCAGAGTAATTTATTCTCATGTTCTGTTTTTCTAAATGTAGTCCTTGTATGACTTGCATCAGAATAACCTATTGTTCCATTCTTGTCTGGCCCCTAAGCACCCCTTTCTCCTCCCCCACCCCGCAGACCATGGAATCAGAATCTCAGGGAACAGGGCATAAACAACATTTCAAACAAACCCCAGGGTGGCTGTTATGCCTAATAAAGATTGAGAACCATGGAGTGATTTTTAGGGGCTGAGACTGATGAAAGATGTATTTAGAGTTCTAGGTTTCCTTCTGCCAGGGGGCAGTGTTCTCTGAAACGTGGCTAGGTGAATAAACCAAGCTGGAAGTTTAGTTTTTCAGTCTCGCAAAAAGTTACTCTTTCTTGTTTCCTGAGCCAGCCATGTGTCAATTTCTACCAAAATCTTAGACACCACAGCAGGTGAACTTTCTTAATTGGGATTTCTTATAAAAGAAGGTTTTGAACTATATTCCAGTCATTTTGGTGGAATTTCTTAACTTACTTTGCATTGCCAGGCTTTTTGTTTTTTTTTCTCAGCTTTGCATAATGAGGGGGTAATAGGATTGTGCAGTTGATTTGGTGCCCAACAGAGGGACTTTGGCCATCTTCCTGGAAGTTGATTTATAATGATAATCTTTTTAGTAAAGTTCTGTTTATCAATACTTAGGTGGTGATGATGATGGTGATGATGTATGTGTGTGAAAAATTTCCTGATGCTCTACGACCCGGTAGAAGATAAAGTGAATTTAGCAGAATAGTTAGCAGCAAGAGGGACTAAGCTCACTTCTTTTGGAAATGGTACCAAGTGATGTGCAGAAGTCAACTATGCCTAAACTTGGCTTTTATACTTACCAGCTTTTCTTTCCCATACGGCTAGTCATCCTGTCTAAAATAGAATGAAATAATGGCTGATGTTCTGCTTCCGAACTCCATTTTTTCCCCCAAGGACAATAGTCATTGTCCCCTCAATGGGTTTCTGCAATCAAATGTCAGACAGAGGCTCAAGTTGTTGGACTCTGGCGAAGCCTGGAGAGGCTGGAGAGTAGAGGGGGCTTGGTTTTTAGAACATGGGGAGCACTGCAGCATACAGTGAAATAACAGGATGGCCTTGATGTTCTCCTTTTTGGTTGATAGTTTCCCCCTAAAATGACGGGCTTGCATCTTGAAATTTAACATAAATAGTAGAAAAATATTACATGGGGTTAACATCTTTTATAAGCCTCGCTAAATACCCAGCTCTAAATCAATTCAGTATGGCAGACAGACTAAAGCAAGAGATTTACATAGAAAAATTCATAAGCCTGTCATCTCTTTTAAGAGGGCAAACTAAAAGAATTCTAGAAAGGCAACTCAAAGTTTGGCAGTGTATTCTCAATTAGCTGTTACTAAACTCTAGAATTTATAATGAAACCCAGGCCTACTATACAATCCACTATAAACAAGTTCTTGCTTTTGTGCTATCATGTTTTATTTGCACAGAGGCTCTGCTCCGTTAGTAATTGGTTGAGCTGTGAGTCCCTGTTTGTTTACGTATGCGCATATGCACTGTGCTAGAAAAGACAGTCCCTGGGCCTGGCCGGAAAAGCCACAAACAAACCTCCCCTCATTTGAATCTTAAAGGCACACAATATTTAAACAACTTTCAGATTTAGAGGCCTCAGTTTCTCCTCTAAACGTGCTGTGATTTCCAAAGTGCTCAGTAAAGGAACTTTTACACTCACAAGAGCCTCAGAGGACACTAGATGGTCCTAGATGGGAGCTAGATGATAACTGAAGTGAAAAATAACTAGAAAAACAATTCTTGAAATCTAAATTCTTGCTGCCATTGAGATTTCCATCCTCAATTCACTTGCTAATAAAGCTTACCCTCCCTTTCCTCTCCACCTCTTCTTTCTGCTCCTTACCTCCCAAATGCCTCAAAGCCAGCTGACTTTTGGCAGGAATGGACCCAGCCTGGAGTTATTTTGTCTTTCCTCACAGGGCAGGAGGACTGCACGCTGCTTAGCTGGCATTCTCAGTATTTTGATAAAAGTTACTTCTCTAAAATATAACAATGACATGGGGAAAAGAATGCTGTCTCTTGTGCGAGTTGCAATTTCGGGAGATTTCATCGTGAGAAATATCAGAGGCATCAGAAGTAGCAGAGAATGTCGTAATAGGGACAGGGTCTTTCAAACTGCCAGCAAATAAATAAATGGAAAAGACAGGGAGAGTTATTATGCTTACAAATTGTAAAACTTTCCTTCTAAAAAAAAAAAAAAAAAAAAAGGAAAGAAAAGAAAAATAAAGCCGGGGTTGACGACACTGAATAACTACATTGTAAACCTTAAAAGCTTGAAGCTGGTAGAAAGCTCTGTGCGGCTCTGTTTCATTTTTATCGGATGAAATACATTTGGTTTCTTTTTGACAAACCATGTTTTTGTGAGGGAAGGAAAACGAACGTGCGCTGTTATTGGCCACAGCTACATAAGAAATCTTCACGTTGCCAGAGGATACCACATGAAAGGGTTTGTGTTAGGGGAGGGACCGATAAGGGGGTGGGGACAAGGAGGATGATGCTTTAAGCCTCTTGTGCTCAGAGCTGCAATTTGAACAAACCGTGATGAAATCAAGCTCTGGACAAATCAGATGAGCCTGTCAACTTCCCAGGTGGGATTGCTTGTAGTTAATAGACTGAACGCGGAGCCTCGGAGCAGGGCATTCCATGTAGGCAGAGAACACGCTGCAGAAAGCTTTCCAAGAATCCTGACATGGCAAGAAGAGGCTCCTTCCAGTCTTACCAGGTAGGAGAAGGATGGAACCGCAGGGGAAAAGGCTTGCTCCTCAGAACCAGTTCCTTTTGAATCTGAGTTTTTCTGTTTGTTGTTCAGATTGAGACAGCACCTTAGGATGCATTTTGGAAGTTGTAGGATTGGGGATGTTGCAGGGACTGGAATTGCTTCATGTAATTTGATTTAGTCCTGTCTAGCTGTCTTTGACAACTCAGTCTCTATTCCCTTAGGTAATATCCTTGTTCACTTTTGCTGTTGGTGTCAATATCTGCTGTGGATTCACGGCAAGTCGAATTAAGAGGGCAGAAGGATGGGATGAAGGCCCTCTGACAGGTAAGAGTAACAACTATTTGCATTTCAGTTCTTTTAAAAAATATTATTCACTAGTTATCAACATAAAGTCCTTAAGAAATCCATCTTTAAGGTAATCTTGCAGGATAACTAATTTAGTCCTAGATTCCTCTGGGATGAAACCAGCTATATATGTAAATTCAGGTTAAAAAAATGTGGTTTTATTTAGAGCACATTGATGGTTGCTTCATAACAACTGTACTTTTAAGTCTGTGTACTTTGAAATTTATAAATGTTGAGATAAAATTAAAACATTTTTTCATAGCCAAGGCAAAAGCAGATGTGGTGAGAGAACAGGTGTTGGGTTAGGACTGGAGTTATACAAATGCAATTTGTTGTCATGTGATGTAAAATAGAGTGTTTGCTACCAGATAATTCTGATCCAGGAAAAAGAGGAATGAAAGTAAAAAGGGCAGTGATCTGTCTCTATGAAACTCTAGAGATTTAAAATTTTAAGATCAAGATTTACCCCAAACAGGAAAAACATAAGACAGAGGAGGTACTTCAAAGAGCTTATGGGATGGATTTTTCTCATTGTGTTTTTTCTTTTGCATAAGGAAAGGTGAGTTTTAAAAGTGTACCCTGACTTAGCTAATCGAACCAAAGTGAAAGAGTTTCCTTTTACAATATGCTGAACCATCAGCGGAGTGGGAATTCTCATGAAGGAGCTCCTTGTGCAGCCGGAGGGGACTTAACTGACCAGGTCTTAAGCAATGAGTTGGTTAATTTCCTGGAAATTGGAGCCGCTGATAGTTTTAGAAATAAAAATTACATTTTAAGTAATGGGTACTCTAGGGGGCAATATTTTCTTGACTTTTTCTGAGATCCCAGAGTGTTTGTCTGTCTTTCTGTAAATTTTGTGTTTCTCTGTATTTCTTGATCTGACCACAGTGAAAGATTCTCACCTGTCTCTGTTTAGCCAGCGTGAACTTTTGTTATTAACCAAGTTGTGATACATGCCTTGATGGAATACTAAATCTTCCTTACATCAAGTTAAGTTGCTTTTGAGTCATGCCAGAAGGTTGAAGGAATAATATTAGCAGTGGGTTAGTGAATTGAAGTGGGGTGTGGTTTGGGCCAAGACTGAGAAAATAGATCATAAAAATTGCAGCCCCAGGAAGCCAAATGGACAGAAGGAGCTGTCTTCTGTTGGGGAGGGAGGTGAAGGGTCTCTGGGCTAGAAGAGAATGCTGTTTTTTATTGGTAGCAAATGCTCTCTTCAAAGGCCTCTTCGAGTGCCACTAACAGCCAGGGGGATCCAACCCTTAGTAAGGTCACGTGGACCAGCTTGCAACTTGACAGCAAACAGCTGGTTCTTTCCAATGCATTCAAAATGGGACTTTCTTGCTCTTGTTTCCTCTTCATATATTACTTTTGGTTAAAACTGATATTGAGAAATTAAATGCTGGTTCCTTAATACATGTATAAAATTAAGATATTAATTATTTTTGAAGTTGACTCTTTTGGGAGATAGTCTTAAAAGTCTTAGACTGATACTCTCTGTTCATATAGTAGGCAGTGAGGTCTTGGGCAAGTCATGTGTGAAGTCTCTTCCCTAGCTGCCCACTGAGAAGCTGACCTGGGTGATCTCTAATTTCCTTCTGGATTAAAAAAAAAAAATCCTGATTTCTATCTTGCTTTCTTGTCTTGAGTGTTCTCCACTAGAAAATGTGGAAAATGTAGGTCGGCTTTAGTAATCTTCAAAAATACTTTGTATATGTTAAATTATTTCCAAATGTTATAAGCAACAACTAAAAGAACTAACAAATCCATGTTACTTTTGGAAAAGTAGTATGGTCTACATTATAATCTATAAATTATATAATTTTAAATACATTACAAAACATTTGATTATTAAATAATTTAAATTACTGATTGTTTCAGGCTTTATGATAGCATCTAAAATAATTTATTAGTTAAACTTCCACCTATGAGTGAGAAGCTTTGTCTTAGGGTACAATACAATTTAAGTCTGAGTTGAAGTGTTTTGTTAGGTCTGCACACTTTTTATTTTTAATTTTTCTTCTGATGTAGCTTACCTATTGTTTAGGTGCTGTGGTTGATTCCTCCAGAGGAAAGACCAAAGATGGAAACTGGGAAAGCATAGTGCAGAGTTTTTATGTCTTTTTAAATGCCACATGTGCCTAGAAGGGACATTTTTCAAATAATATGTGATTGATCATTCTGTTAGTAAAGCCTTCACATTAGAAAACACTGGGTAAATTTTATATGTGGAGTAAGATAAGACACCAGGAAGGAAAGCACTCCTGCTTTCCCATTTTCAAAAAATCCTTTTGGATTCCAAAGAAATCCTACAAAGCTTAGTGCTTCAAGTTGTTGTTGTTGTTGTTTTAACAAACACAAGGAACACAAAGGGTATTCATATATGGCTAGCTCTGGACTGATTAAAGCAAGATCCACTGTTCAAAAGCATACAGCCTCTTGTTTTTTATGCAGCAACAGTGGAGAATGTTCTACACACATGTAGACCCTTACTGTTGTACTATGGACTGAGGCATTGGTTTCAAGGTTGTGGCAGAGTAAACAAACTTATAATTAATTAACTAGCATACTTGTTAGCTGGGTTTATTGTTAGGAACTAGTCATCTATTGGAAGTAAGGGTGGAATAAGATTTATTTTACCAGACACATAAAGACTTATTAGAAGGTATAAAATGAGCAGAGCAAATTATAATTCTTTTGGGTAAACATAAAGGGCACTCAGGTAAGCAAGATGGCAGGTATCAATTTTCAAAGAAAATGTGAGTAACAACTGCAATCCAGTTTGACATCTTTGTCCCGAACATCTAATGCAGATCTCTTGATTTGGTTTTAAAAAGACTGCAAGAGAATTTATGTGTGCACAGGTGTTCATGTTCTCATGTACACCTGTATTTGTGTGGGATTATGATGGTATGGGGGAGTCTACTTTATTGAAGCTTATGACATACATATTCTTTCAGTTCCGAGGTGGAAATGGAATAGCCACCTGTATATTTGAAATATATGCAACTTAATACTTGAAAGACAAAGGGAAACTTGTGAGCTCATGAATACTGGGCTATTAGAAACCTGAAAGCTCAGTCCAATTTATTGTCCTTTTCATTGGTTTAACAAGAAACTTTCAAAATATACAACTGAAATTTATGGATAAATATGAAATGTAAAGTATCATAAATAATTTTATGAGGAAAAACATTTTTTTTTTTTTTGTGAATCACAGAGACAACAGAAATGGTATTGGGGTGAGAAGGTTCATTTTCATTTGAAAATTTTAGAAGTCTTATTAAAATAGGATAATACATTGAATTTATCTTCACTTGTAAGGCCAGTTTCTACATGTATTCGTAGGGCTAATAAAACCATGATTTAAGGTGACAATGTTTCATTGTTTGCTAGCAGATTTGCAAATCATTCAGATTCATGCTACTCCTTACCTTTAAGGCTCTCTGAATAGGTTAGACATTTAATTAAGTTTTTAACTTTTGATTTAAATCACAAAGAAATCTATTTTCTTGTAGTTTGTGAGGTCTTCCATAGGAGGACATTTTATTGATAAATTCTTTGAAAGTACAGGTGTTTGAAAAAACCTATTTAAATTATCCCAGTTGGACCTATTTATATTAAAAAAAAAAAAAGAAAAAAAAAACCTTATGAAATCTGGCCTAGCAGCTCTGAAGATGAGGAAACAGTGATGCCCATGAGTGGGTATTTATAGAAAGTGATGTTAGGAAGCAGAGAGGTGGAGAGCAGGCCTGTATATAGAGCTGCTTGCCTAAAGGGTGAAGTCAGAACCATCAGAAAAATAAAAGCAACTTCAAAACAAGAAAGTATTACCTAAAAAGATGAATCAGATACTCCAGAAGAGGCATAAGACAGTATTAAATTCTAGAGCTGAGTGGAATCTTGAGTGGCATCCATGCTGCCCTTGGGGTTTCCCTGGGTTTACTTCAAACAGGGCAACCCAGGGGGAACCCTTTCTGTTTTAATGCTTTTGAGAAAAGGCACAACCACAACTTGAAATCCAATTCAGGGCTTTCTTCTCACTTTCAGGAAACACCTGGGCTGAGAACCAGAATGAATGGGAGGGACAGATAGGGAGCAGTGTCCCAAACTCTGAAAACAGGAGCAGCCTGTTAGAAGAAGTTTGAAAGAAAAAAACCTTCCAACTTTGGGCTGGGCTTCATGTTTTCAATTTAAAGACTCTCTCCCTTATTGGTCATTACCCAAATTTGAAAATTTTTCTGTGTGGGAGAATTTCGAGGGAAATATGATGGGGTGCCCGGGATGGATTTATATTTTGATCACGACACTTATATCAATTACGCTTTTTCCCAAGAGGCTATACATTTTCATTATTTTTTTTCCCTGTATATCTGTGGAATAAATGACACCAGAATTCTCCAACCCTCTCTGTGTATGTGGACAGTGAGATGGGATATTCTAAAAAAAAGGTTTTTGAATGAAATAATAAATTATGATTTATATTGGTATTTCTTTAAGTCATGAAATTATACTTCTGTGAAAAATAAGGAGTGTATGGCACTGTTGGTATGCATGTCAGGTATATATTTAATTTTAAAATCCAATGTCCTTTTGAAAAAATAACAAAATATATTTGTAAGGTTCTGTAACATTTGTTATTCATGATTCTAGGACTGACTTTATCATTGAAGTAAAATAACATCATTTAAATATATGATTTTAAAGGCAGCAATGTAATTTGAATTACATAAAAATATTGGCAAGTGCCTCCTAAGATCTAATTTGAAGGCCCTATCACACTTACTACATATTTCTAACTTAATACTTCTGAGTACTTTTTGTTTGCTTGCTCTTTAGAGTTTGTCTTCTTTTTTAGTTTCAAGCTTTTGTGGGGCTCTCAGGAAAATCATGGGAGGCCACAAGTTCATGGTTCCTTGTGTGTGTGTGTGTGTTTTTTTTTTTTTTTTGCCATCCTCTCATTGAGCTAAAGAACTAAGGTGCTCAGGTCCATGTTCTCTTGATTTAGGTCAAGTAAAGGGGGGCTTGGAATTTAAAACTCAGATGTATAATCAACTAATCTTTCCACATTTGGTGTTGAATCGGGCACAATAAAAAGAAAAGTCCCCCCAAAGGTGTTCTCTGGTGTAGGAAGAAAGACATGGAACCTGGGCCAGGAATTCAACAAACACACACACAAATAAATAAATAAATAAAAGCAAGCTAGAATGAAGAGGATGAGATACAGAATTCCTAGAAAATGAATAGGACCCCAAACTTGTCATGAAAGCAGGTAGCCAAGATGCATCAGGACCTGGAAAGGCAAAGTGAACATTCTCCTACTCTCTGCTGTTCTCTTTTACTGAAAAAGCAATGGCAGCTCAAATTTCTTAGGGTTAGAAGAGGCTTTGTATGGCTCAAACTATCTTTGCATTTTTCTGCCCCTGTGATTCCTGTCAGCACCGAGCATAGATATCCCCTAATCCCCACAGGCTCAGGAATTCACTCCTGTTTGAAGCTGTGGATAACACAATCTTGAGTATTTTTTATGAGATGTATCTTTGCTTTATGAATGTAAATGCAGCTCTAACAAAGCTGTCTTCAGTCTAAAGCTTGGTCAGGAGGGCTGTGATAAGGGTCAACCCTTGAGTGAGAGTCAATTATATTGAAAAACAAAGCAAGGCACAAAGTGAAAGAATGATTAATAGTAAAAATCATTTTGATACTATGCATGAAAAAAGAGCACAAAATGATGAAGCATTTGCAACAGATTTTGTTTGTTTGTTTGTACTAGGGATTGAACCTAGGGGTGCTTAGCCATTGAGCCACATCCCCAGCCCTTTTTAAGATATTATATTTAGAGACAGGGTTTTGCTGAGTTGCTTAGGGCCTTGCTAAATTGCTGAGGCTGGCTTTGAACTTATGATACTCCTGTCTCAGCCTCCTGAGCTGCTGGGATTACAGGTGTGCACCACTACTCCTGGCCTATACGGACATTTTGAAAGTAAAAAAGATATAGGGAATAGATTAAGATAAGGAGAATATGACGGGCATAAGTGCAGGAAAATTTCAAATGCTTTCTGGGACCCCTAAAGGAGACAAGGCAGGTCAAAAACAAACAAACAAACAAACAAACAAAACCTGTGAATGACATGCCTGTAGGTCTCCTCCTCTCTCAGCAGAGCTGAGCAGGCTTCTGTATGCAGCTCATTGGAGTGAGAACTGCTCACCATTTATTAGCTGCTAATGCAGTGATTCTATCTAACCACTAGCCTTAAAAAAGGAATATTCAACTATAAGTTTTTCCTTATCTTTGTTTTTACTATAGGACCATCTTTTCTTTTTTTCCCTTTTCAATTCCTTCTCCTTGCCATGGTTTCCTGTGGTTCAGCATACACTGTTCTTAGGTTGGCCAAAGTCAATAGAAAAAATGTGGTTTTTAGACCAGAGGTAAGGCACTGCAGTGGAAACTGACATTATTTCCTAAACTGAACTGATGTGGTTTGTATGTATTTCAACATCACAGAATCAACCATGCGAAAGCATTTCACATTTCATGGTCTAGTGAATCTGTTTGCTTTAGTTCAACTGATCTGATGCCATAAAGGTTAGCATTGGGTGATTCTGATTATAAAGAAGACAAAGGACTCAGGGATGAGCAGGATGTTCAATTACATGGTGTGGATGAACTGGGAAATGTCACTTAACATCTTTTCTCCTGTTCTTCACTTTTTCTTGATTTTTAAAAGTGATACATGTGGATTATTAAAAAAATGAAATTCATAAACATGGAAATAAAATTAAAAATAGCATGTTATAAATAATACTTGTTAATGTATTTACATGTACTATATATTGTATGACATGTTTTATACACACACATGCATATATACATATGTGATATATAGAAGAAAGTAATCAAGCGATTAAAAAAAAATCCAGAGAACTACCCACAAATTTGTAAAACGCCAGTAATTTCAAATTACAGAAATTAATTTTCTCAGTCATTTTCCAGAGATATAATTCCTGTAAACAGTTTCTTACAGGGAAGAAAAAGGTTAATTCACACCTGCACATTTTCTTAATCCCTTTACTCTCAGTCTCTCCCTCCCTCTCTGTCTCTGTCTCCCCTCTCCAGCTCTGACTCTGTTATTTCCATCCTTATCTCTTGTCCTTAATGCTCTCTTTATCTCTCTTTTTTAGCACAAAATCTAATACATAATCCTTAATACTGTAACACTATTATGTACTTTGTTCTTTTTTTTTTTTTTTTGGTAATGGGGATTGCACTCAGGGGCACTAGAACTCTGAGCCACATCCCCAGCCCTAGATTGTATTTTCTTTCTTTCTTTTCTTTTTTCTTTTTCTTTTTTTTTTTTTTAAGAGACAGGGTCTCACTGAGTTGCATAGCACCTTGCTTTTGCTGAGGCTGGCTTTGAATTCAAGATCCTTCTTCCTCAGCCTCCTGAGCCACTGGGATTACAGGCGTGTGCCACCTTGCCAGGCTACTTTGTTCTTTTCAGATATACACAACGATACAATATATTTTGACATATTATACACACATGGAGTATAACTTATTCTAATTAGGATCCCACTCTTGTGGTTGTACATGATGTGGAGTGTCACTGGTTGTATATTTATAAAGGACCATAGGAAAGTTAGGTGTAATTCATTCTGTATTTCCTATTCCCATCCCGACTCCCTTCCCTTCATTCCCCTTTTCTATTCCAATGAACTTCTATTCTCCTACCCCCACCCCTTATTGTGTGTTAGCATCCACATATCAGAGAGAACATTTGACCTTTGTTTTGGGGGAGGGGGTTGGCTTATTTCACTTAGCATGATCATCTCCAGTTCCATCCATTTACTGGTACTTTGTTCTTTAAAAAAAAAATTGTTTATATGTTTTGTGGATTTTCCATTGGCCTATACAGATCTGACTCACTCTTCTAAGGGCAAGCAACATTCCACTTATAAATATAGGGATTCTTTCTTTCTTGATGGATAAAGTACCTTTGGTTGACTTCAGGGACCCTTCCTCCTGCACATTAAAAAAAAAAAAAAAAAAAAAGCAGTGAATAATGGTCATTTTTTCGTGTGTGTGCATGTATTTTGGAGAACTTTTGCAATTATATATGAGAGGTAATGAAATTTCTGGAAGAGTCATGCACGTTTTAAAATGTTGATAGATGTTTCTAAATTGTATTCTATTTTACAAAAATTTGCATTCTTAGAAACAGTTACCAGTTTATATTTATATTCACCATAAATTAGTTATCTTATTAACTGGGGTGAGGGTCCAGCTTACTTTTCTCCAGTCACAACTTACTGATTAATCTTTTTCTCTTTCTCTGGTTTTAAATGTCATTTTATTATACAATATATTCTCATATATTTAGCATTTATATATGGTTCCTATTCCTGGGACCATATATAACACTGATGTACTTGTTTTCTAGTACCAAGCTATTTTAATTATTTAACTTCAGAATATACTTTTCTGTCTAGTTACCAAATTACTTTTCCTCTTCAGTGTTTTCCTATTTTCATATATTTCTTTTTACATACATCTTTTTTATTTTCTCAAGTTTTAAGAACTGTTGATATATTTATTGTGATTGCATTGAACCTTTAGGGATATATAGGAAAAATTAATATTTTCATAATATTTTTACATCTAAGGTGGTATGAATTTTGATGGAATTAGACCTTTTGAAATGTCTTTTTGTAAAGTTTTAAAGTATTCTTTATGTAGGTTCTATACATGTTATTAAATTTGTTCCTAGACATTTTATCTTTTAGGTACTACAGTGAATAAAATTACCGCTTAATTTTTAAACTTACATTTCCTGTAAATTATGAATTTGTGAAATTTTCATCTCATGGAATTCTTTCTTTTCCCCAAATTTAGATGACTTGAGGTTTCTAGGACTATAATTTTATCACATGAGAATAATGATAAGAGGGTTTGTTCTTGACAAGATGAGATTGTGGAGTTTATGTTTGTATAACACTGGCTATGACATAGATTTTTGGTTAGAAGAGATAGTAAAAGTCTTCTTCTATTCCATCACATATATTCAGACTGTCTTCAGAATATTTGAGCTTAATTTTTCTTATAAAAAGCAATGCATTATTAAATAGGGAAACAAATTCTTATTTCTACTGGGGAAGTAACCTGACACATTTGTAATAATAAATAATAATGAAACCAATAGCTAACAGATTTTACTTTTTCTATGGGTTTGATACCCTGATAAATGTTTTCCTTTGGTTGTTTAACTCTCATTTGCATGGCTTCCCAGGGCCATTCTTCCAGTGTCATGACCCCCTTCCTAAATCATTGCCTTTACCTCTTGATCCTTGCAGTGCTATCCGACTCCCCTTGGACCAACACCTCTGGATCTTGCAAGGGAAGATGTTTTGAACTTCAAGAGGTTGGACCTCCTGATTGTCGGTGTGACAACTTGTGTAAGAGTTACAGCAGTTGCTGTCATGATTTTGATGAGCTCTGTTTGAAGACAGGTATGTCACTTAGGTGTCCTCTCTCTTTCCAGTAGATGGCCTAGAGGCTGATGTTGGATGCCCTGGAGTTGCCCCCTGCTTTGGCCTATCTGAACTATGGATTTCAGTTTTGTTTCTTGAATGACTGTTGGTCGTGTGATGAACACGTCCTGTGTGAATGACTTGTTCCCACACTGGGCCTTCACATTAGTCATCATATGCTGGTTTTAAAAGTGTTTGTGTATAGGCTTTGGTTCATAGTCACCATTTCTGCCTTTTCTTGCAAATTCCTGTGTTCATTGCCATTGTACATGGGCCCAAAATGTGCACATTCTTAAAGTTTTAGGTTCAAAAAAAAAAATTTTTTTTTTTTTTGTTTACCTGCCCTATTTCTAGCATTTGTTTTCTTTCATCTTATGTAGTGACTGCTGGTCTGCCCTGATGTCGTTCCCTATTTTCTGTACAAATGGAAATTGATTATGGAATTCTATTTGGGGTCTTGTGCTCTGGGTAGCTTCAAATCTTCCTCTAAGATTTCCTGGTTTTCTTTGTATTTCTCACATGGTGGAACAGTCATTAGAATATACAGGCTCTCAGATGAGTGCACATTAGTTGAGAAAAAACACCTTTGGGGACTTTTTCTATCATACTTGTTCTGTTTTCAAAAGTAAACATTTCAGATGGACTTTTAAGATACTTTATGAGGTCACCATCATGCCTCCAGGCAAAGCCTAAGAAAGACAGTGGCCAACCCTGTTCTTATCACCCCTAGAAGGGGATTCCACAGCTCCCTTGACCAGTTATTACTTATTTTCAGACTTTTATGCATGGATGATTCTTTAAAAAGTCTAAAAACATCTCTGTTATTAATTATATTTTCAGTGATATTGTTAGAAATAGAGACACTATTCCCTTTTACTTAAGCCATAGCCCCTTGGTTTATATGAAACTCAATATCAACTCCCATACTCATACTGATTTTTGCCCCTCAGCCCCTGCAAAATAAGAAGAGTTTCATTTTAGACTCTTTCTTTTCATAATATTTTTCCAAGAACATAGCCACCTCTTTTTGTCGTTGTTGCTTCCTTTGGAACTTTCCCCATGTTCCTTAGTTGTGACTCTGCAAACTTAAATGCTGAGACCATTGTAAATGGAGTGTATGGATGGAACAGATGTTCCAGAGAGTTCTTTGGCTTCAAAAATTGTTTCAAGTCAGCAGTCTTTGTTTGCTTGGCACTAAGGATTTTATTATTGCTTTATGTTTGTCGTACCTTCAGTATTTTGTCCCTGACATGCTATGTCAATTTTCTAAAGTCTTGATCTTAGAGTTTCTTGAAAAGTTTAAAGGATCCCCTGGACTCTAGCTTAGCTCTTTCTAAATGTAGCTCATGCCTTTCTCTCAGGCTTAATAAAGATGAACTATAATACCCTTTTGTAAAATGGTTTATTCTCCTGTGTTCAAACACAATGTTGATGGTGGCAGGATCAAATATCAAATAACAATAAAAAGTCAAGGGAGAGAGGCGATGTGGCTCAAGGGTAGTGCGCTCAGCTGGCATGCGCGGGGCGTTGGGTTCGATCCTCAGCACCACATGAAAATAAAATAAAGATGTTGTGTCCACCGAAAACTAAAAAATAAATATTAAAAAATTTTCTCTCTCTCTCTTTAAAAAAAAAAAGTCAAGGGAGAAAATCTCTGAGATTCTTCATTGCTGATACAAGCACACTCTAGCAATAAGCATGATGGTTCACTGCAAACTTTGATTACTCTCTGTCTCTGCGTGTGTTTGGTATGAATGCATGTGTGTATATGCACTTATATATACATATGTAAACGTGTGTTGGAGTATCCATATCCATAAACCTTTCTCCACATCATTCTTTTGAATGTCTACATTCTGCAAAGTGTTGAGACCTAAGTCATTAATGAATCAACATTTATATTCCTTCAACTTTTGCGACTGAGAATAATGTATCAATGAATACCACTCATGTACATAAATACTTTTTTCTATTTCCTTAAGATGAATTCCTAGCAGTGAATTTCTGGGTCAAAGTGTATGTGCATTTACAAAATTTAAACATACAGTATAAAATTGGACTCTGAAATTTCATATTGCTATCAAAGGCTCCCAGACCTTTCAGCACTGGATGCTTTTATTTTAAAAAATATATTTTTTTCAGTGCTGGGGATCACACTCAGGCCTCACACATGCTAGTCCAAGTCTACCACTATGTTACATGTCCAGCCTTATTATTTGCATTGAAATCAAGCAGATCAAAGTTAAATAAAGCTACTTCTGAAAATAAATGAGCAGAGCTATGGAGATCATCTCTACAATGATAGATATCCCTATCACCAATCTTTTAAACCATGCATTTTATTGGGTCCCTTAGGACAATAGGGGAATGGGAGAGAGATTTTGCTTGCCTTTCCAGGTACCGTTTTTTCCAAAGGAGGTCAATTGTACTTTGAGTTTGTCCCCAGCCTTGAAACATTAGAAATTCGTCCAATCTGTAAATCCTCCAAATACCTCTAGGCCTGAGGCTGACTCAGATTTCACAAGCAGATTAAATGATGTGGGATCTGAGCTTTATTTGTTGGAAACCCATAAGCAATTGTGGCCTCTTTCATTTGGTTTGTATGCAGCAGTGAAAGTGTTTTATTGTGATGATTTCAGCTCGAGGCTGGGAGTGTACTAAGGACAGATGTGGAGAAGTACGGAATGAGGAAAATGCGTGTCACTGCTCCGAGGACTGCTTGCTCAGGGGAGACTGCTGTACTAATTACCAAGTAGTTTGCAAAGGTACATGTCTTGGGATCAGCACGAGATCTAGAAGAATGAAAATTGGTGATACCCTAGGGTATTTTTTTTTTCCCAATATGAGCCCTTTTCTGTTTTTGATGGGGATAACTTAGAAAACACCTTGGACATGGGAGTGTAAGTGGGGGTGGGGTGGAGTTGTCCTTTTTAATTTCTCATGCATTTTTTAGTTTTTCTATCCTGCATTTCCTTAATCTGAAGTAGCAAGGAAATAAAGCCCAATTCCATAATTAGAACCACAATAATGAAGAGACTTTTCACTTTTCTGTCTTAGTTTTGGGTCAGGTTTCCTAAAAGCAGAACCTGAGATAGGAATTTGGTACCTGAAGTTAAGGGCAGGCTTTGTAGAAAAACCATGTGAAAGAGCAAGGGCAGCAGGTTGGGAGGCAGGGGTGGGTGATGTCTCAGGTAAAGATCACCATGGCCTACTCCACTGATGGTTCTGAAAATTAAATCCCAGAGTTGCAGACTCGAGGCAGGAGGGTGTGGCTTTTATATGGAGGGGACACAGCCTAGGGATGGGGGTACTAGCTGATAAAGACTGATAATGCTGCACACCTGAGCCTTATGTGAATGTGTGTTTTCTTCCTATGGTTGGTGGTGGAATATTATGCTTTTATTATAATCATTAACAAGATCAATGACTACAGAAAATATAAAAGATGTAGTTTCTGTCTTTAAGAAGTTTAAGGCACTGTGCCAAGCCCTTATAGATGTTAATGGAAAGACCCAAGATTCTTTATCTATACCTTTTAAGTCACTCTTTAGTTGCTAAACAAAACTCTTTCCCCTGTGTCCTATACGGAACATTTATAAAGAGTTTCTGTTAAAAGTTTTTAGGGAAAGAGCAATTCAGTTCTAAAATGTGTTAGGTGTATAGTTGTGAGAAAATTGTATTATATTAGTGAATGTAGCAAATTTCTCATACCCAAGCAATTACCCTATTATGAATTTCTACTAACCTAAGAATTATGCTTTTATTTTTAAAGATTTTTAAAGAAGTAAGAACTTACAGCCCTTTCCTCAAAAGGGAAATTTAAAAATTTTCCTATGCAGTAAGTGCATCAGCCACAAAGGCTTTTAGAAAAAAAATGAAGATAAAAAAACTCTGAGGTATCATTGCTCATTGAATTATTAAATATTAAAGCAGCTTTTTCTGGTTTAATATTCTACTTTTAGTACTTTTATGAAGCCCATATGGATGCCCTGACTTACTATGTGTTTAGTAAATCTTCCCCATTTTAAGGAGCATAGTACTTACCCAGTAGTTAAGTAGTTAGATTCTTATTGACTAACAGAGATTTCCAATGCTCTTTAAATAGGAGAAGTTTTTCCATATTAGTGATTGCAAAATTTAAGGCATGCAATTTTTGTTTGTCGTAGAACAATTTAAGGCAAATTCTTTTTTTTTTTTTTTTAATTTCATTTTCTCCAAAGAAAAGCTTTTACAATCTCCACCCCTCCCTTTGGTGTGTGAGTGTGTTACTATAGCAAACTACTTGAGGCTGGAAACTTTATATGGAGAAGAGGTTTATTTAGCTCACAATTTTGGAGGTTGAAAGTTCAAGATTGGGCAGTCTCTGGTGGGGTCTTTCTAGCTATGTCACATCATGGAGAATAGATCATATTATAGTGGGAGGTACATGTGTAATAGAGGGAATTAAGATTGCTGCCAGGCTTCTTATGATAACCCATTCTTTTGGGAACTAACCCAGTCCTAAGAGACCTGCAGTAATCTCTTCTGAGGATGGTGCTCCCATGACCTAATTACTTTCCACTAGATTCCACATTTGAAAGGTTATACCACTTCAACACTGCCCCTCTAAAGATCAAACCACACAAACCGCTGGGGACCAACAGCGGTTTTTTGTTTTTCAATATGAACACTTTTCTGTTCTCTATTTTGATGGAGATAACTCAGGAAAGACTTAGGTCTATGCTGTCAGATCCTGGTGCAAGATAGGAGTGAAGTTGGTTTGCATTTCTAAAAATCAAGGCCATATACAGATCCATTGGCAAATAATCTCCATATTGTCATCTCCCATTTATCACCCCTGTATATTCTAAACCTTTTTCCCCATCTTAAGGGAAATATGTCATGCTTTTTATGGCTTTGAGATCTTCAGTGGTAGAGAAAAGAATGTTCCATCTAATGACCAAACAGTTTATTTCTGGAGGGATACAAACATGAAATTTTGTTCACTGACGCCACTGGTTTTTTTTAATCTACAAACCATTTAGACTCTCAAGGCTCAAATAAACACCACTTGAGGTTATTAAATCTTAGCTTTCCCACCATGTATGGGTGTACTTTAAAAGCCAAACCAGACACTACACTTTATTTCAGAATTTCACTTTAGATGGTATTCCATTAGCAAGTGTCCAACAGGACACAGATCCTGGGATTATGTGCTTCAAGGCTCTGGGTGTCACACGTAATTAGTCTCCACGATAAACAGACAACGCTTTTCCTTCTAGGAGAATCACATTGGGTAGATGATGACTGTGAAGAAATAAAGGCCCCAGAGTGTCCTGCAGGGTAAGTGTATTTTAATGAATATTATAAAATTGTACTATGTGCCTTCTTAGCGCAGCAGGCAGTGTGTCAGTCTCATAAAATTGTACGTATTATTAGTAAAACGTCACAGAGAATAAATGGTTACTGGATATAAACAATGTAAAACTGAAATCCTTCCTTACAAACTGGTGCGTACTTACAAGTAATCTACCAGTCAAAAGCTATCTTAAAGTTTTAACAGATTTCTTGTCACTTGCGTGGAGTCCGACTATCCCCTGTGTTGTCACCTGACTATCACTGAAGAAGGAAACATGTCAGGCATACTCACACACACACACACACACACACACATATATGTATATATACATATACATACATACATATATACATATACACACACACATATATATATATATATTTCATTTTTTTCATAATCTCTCCTTGAGTTCTGGTTTTGCCTGGGGGCAGGAAGAGGGAAAATGTACAACCTCTAAAATGATCACCCTGGAAGTTGTCCTAGCGGATGATACAGAGATTCGATGAACCACAGCAGTGAAGTCTTGCTGGGGCACAGCCATCCTGGGTGACCCCCCCAGCTCAAGTATGCCCTTCCTCCGGCACCTTCCAGGAAACTGTGGAGGCTTCACACACCTTCTACATGCTTAGCAGAAAATATACTTCCAGCAAAAGCACTAAAATGCATTTGGTTTTTAAAGGTATTTTTGTTTGGGGTGGCATAGCCTGGGACACAGAATTTAAGTGAGATGTTTTTAATTTTTCCTCCTTCTTAACCTTAGTGAGATGTTTGAACTTCTTTAGGTTTGTAGAGTGCATGGCAACAGTTCCTGGACTGTTTAAAATGTGTTTGCTTATTTTTGAAGAAAGAGTAGAAGCACCTGATAAGAGTAGTGATAACAGGGAACCCTGTTTATGTAGCATTATTCTAAGTGCTTTCTATGTGACTCATTTGAACTATGTCCTCTTTATGACGTGGTTTCAAGTAAACATAAACTTATGCTTGCTAACTAGTTTCAAACTATTAGCAGTAATTCTGCACATATTTTAGTATTCTCAAGTCTGATAAAGAGCCATTTCATAAGATACAGCCCAGGTAGATGAATAGTCTAGTCCTTTACTGAGATACCTTTTACAGGTTTTCATAATTTAAACTATTTTTGAAATTATAACTTAAAGGAATTTTTATAAGTGCTTAGATATAATAGTACAACTGCTTCTCCTGTTGAGTTTTACACTTGTTCATTAATGTATTTAATAAATATTTGCTTTGGGCCCACAAAATAAGAAGATGAATAAGATTCAGCTGTGCTTTGGAACTAGCAAGGAAGAGAAATATATTAACAGATCATTGCAATATCATGTACAAGCATGTATATATGAATGATGAAAGAGGTAGGAATGAATAATCTTAAAGGAATTCAGAAGTGTGAACAACTAACATTATCAAAGAGGAAACTTTGAGCTGGGTTTTAAAGAATGAATAGGAGTTTTCCACATGGCAAATGGGAGACTACTTATCTGAGGCAAATATAACTGCATTTTTATTCATAATGTACAGTACGTAATTGTATTTTTATGTTATTAATAACCCTGTTTATAAGGGAGAAGGAGCAGTGGAGGAAGTACATCAAGGGAAATTGGGTGTGAAGTCCTTTCCATGGGTCCTTGTGAGGCTGGTCATTTGACCCTAGACTTTAGTGACCTCAAATGTTATGTGGCTGGAATCTCAGAGTCATCCAGATATCCTCTGTACAGATTCTTCATGGAAGTTATGGGTCCCAGTTACTGAAAATGAGTAGATACAATGCCTGGTGGCAATAATTTTTCTAAGCTTTAACATATTTCTGTTTAAGGTTTGTTCGTCCTCCATTAATCATTTTCTCTGTGGATGGCTTCCGGGCATCCTACATGAAGAAAGGGAGCAAGGTCATGCCTAACATTGAAAAACTAAGTAAGTGATTTCCTGACTGCCTGGTCTCATCTGTAAGCCAGGATCTCTGCAGTACCAGTTCTGCTATGGGGTTTGAGGTCTATGCACGCATTGTTTTTGAATGTATTTTATTATCTGAAATAAGAAAATGAAAGTAACACCACGTGTCTTGTTTGTAAAGTCAATTTTACATGAAGTGATTCCTGTTGGTTCTGTTATCCTAATATCTGAAATTCTCTTTCTAGGGTCCTGTGGGACACATTCTCCCTACATGAGGCCTGTGTACCCAACAAAAACCTTTCCTAACTTATACACTTTGGCCACCGTAAGTGTTTTCTCGAATGATACGTATTCAAAGGTCTGATTTAATCCTGGAATGACTTCAAGGGGAGATTTTTTAAACATGTTCCTTAGTGTTCAAAGACAGTCTCTCTGTTTTCCATCTTATCGGCCTCAGTAATTCACAGCAAATGCCTTTTACAACTTGGTAGAGGCCTGAGCTTCATTGCAACTTTAAAACTAAAGTGTTTCTTCAGGCACAGTTCAGTCTGAACACAAGCATTACATTTCCCTCAAATACCTGAGAGTTGGTCATTTATTTTTTGGATTTGCAAATAAAAATCTTGATTTCAGATGTTCTAATTTTCAGATACTCCAAATTCTATCTTTTTTTAATATACAATTTACTTATTATTTTATTATTACTGTTTTTTTTATTGTTGACTTGGGGGAAATAGAACTAAGAAAAATAGAAAAGAATATTTAGAAATTGAAATTCTTTGGAGGCACATGTGTAAATTTCAAATAAAGTAATAGAAATTATATCAAGTTCTAATAGTTAAAACTCTAGATATTAAAATTCTTGTAGTCATGTTGTTTCTCAAATGGCTAATAATTAGCCTTGATGCATGTTTGCTCAGGCAGACACACAGTAAAGGCTATGTGTATCTTATATGATTTTGGAAATTAAATATTGTTATAAAACCTTCTGTGATAAGAAAACTCATAATAGAACTCATATATGTAGATTATTGTATTATTGTTTTAACAATAAATTTGCTTTTATACAAAGGGTCTGTATCCAGAATCTCATGGAATTGTTGGCAATTCAATGTATGATCCTGTATTTGATGCCACTTTCCATCTTCGAGGGCGAGAGAAATTTAATCATAGATGGTGGGGAGGTCAACCAGTAAGTTTTGCATTTTGTTTTTTGGTGTGTGCAAATGGAATTATTTCATCCCTAAATTTGTTACCTGAGAAAAAGATATGTCCTCATACTTGTCAATGTTTGTTTTTTGATATTATGTATAATGTATATACATGTATGTATATATCATATATTTATATATGTGTATATGCATATACATCTGGAGTATAATATACATTCATTTCTATATAACATGTGTATGTGCATTTGTATGTATATGTGTGAAGTTATGATTCTAAAAGTGTGAATGATGAAAAGTCTTCGCTAGGATAATAATGGAAATGGTGCCATGAATTGAATTTCAGAAGCATTTTGAAGAAGGACTGAATAGTCAGATCTTAATGATTTACCAGATTTGGAGATACAATGGGAAAGAAAAATGAATGGTTATGACTTCCCTGTTATTTTAAACCCAGTTCCATAATAAACAGAATCAGGGAAAGTTGATGGGAAAAAAAGGAATTCACTGAAGCCCATTGTAAATTCATGCATTCTTTTATTTAATCTATTTTTTAAATCATGGAAGTGAAAAATTATAAGTGGAATCCTATCTTATACTGAGACAGCAAATTAAAACGTTGGAAGAAGTTCCCTTGTTTAGATTAAGTGGCTGAGCAAAAAATGAAATGGGCTGTTGGTGCTTTGACCTAATGTTTTCCCTGTGACAGTGCATATGATGGGCAAGTTGCTTTGCTCAGACACAGGCAAAGCAGCAACATAAAGCCATGGTTGTGGAATGTGCAGAACTTGGGCTCTGGTGTACATGGTCAAAAGGATTGGAATCAACACCTAAGCCTGGGCATTGTACACAAACAGAGATGTGTGAAGGACACATGATCTTGTATTTGATGCCACTTTCCATCTTCGAGGACGAGAGAAATTTAATCATATATGGTGGGGAGGTCAACCAGTAAGTTTTGCATTTTGTTTTTTGGTGTGGAGAGAATGGCTCCATCTCATGCCGACTCCCATTTGGGGTAGTGGCTCCCTGGAACACAAGCCGGGGAAGAGTCTGGGAGATTTCGTGCAGTCTATTAAGGCATGAGGGGTGGATGGGGTCTGCACTCATCCTATGTGTCCACAATGCCCTGAGGACTTAACCTGGAAAGCTTGCTGTGATCCACTGGCAGAATATGGAGCATAAACAGAAATTGTGTTCTTGAGGTAGTCATTTGAAAAAAAGTCATCTGTGATCAAAACATCACGTTGTTAAATAGATATATACTATGTAAGAACAAATGTGGACTTTTTGTGCTTTAAATTAATATTGGAAGACTTCTTCTCTATCTGCAGGAAATAATAGAAGTTCTGATCTTGCTCTTTATTGGGGTTGGACTCCCAGAAGTCTGTGATGACCCATATTGTGATCTAATGACATCTGTTGACAGAATGGATTCCACAGTTTATGGCAGAGCAATAGTTTATGAGTAAATTGAATTATGGAAATTATAGCTCTGTTTACCTGTTGCTAGTTGGTCTCTTGTAATAATTTTATCATGGAAGTCAACTTGTCTGAGTGATAACAAAGGATATAAATAGTAATTTTATCTAATTGGATCACCTTACACTTGGTGTTGACACTAGGTTTCCTTGCAGTTAGCGATGACTCAGAAGCAGAAGAGTCCAGTTAACTGGTGCAGACACAGGTCAGGGGAAGCCGTTAACCTCTCCCCAGGAGTAGTCTCTCTCTCAGCACTAGCTGCTCATTTCCTCCCTAACTCTCAAACTCTCAGTCTAAGACTGACTGAGAGCTACAGTGAAACCAATCTGTGTTTCCATCTACCATCTTGTGCAAGATGGGCAACACAGGAATTCTAAGGACCATCATAGTTATAATTTAACAACACATTGTTGTCTTGAAATTTGATCTATTGTGGAGTGTGTAGACAGGAACTATAAGAGATTTCAGCCTAAGTATATGACTACATGAAACTATGAGTCCTATAAGAAAGAATAACTATTCCTCCACAAGCATTTATATAAACCTCTCAGATGCTTGTACCTTTCACAGAATTACTAGTGAAAAAATAATTGGAGTATAGAAAATATTCATCAAAATTTAGAAATGGTAATTAAATTAAATTTACTATTACTGAATGATGAAACCATGCAAGATAGTTGGCTTCATAATAAAGGGACCAGATTAAATGTTGAATAAGAGTGACATCCTTGTTTAAAACCCAGAAGATGAGATGAGGCATTTATATAGTGTCCATCTGAGATTTTGAATCTCTTCATTATTTTTCTTCCAAAAATAATTTGTATGATTTAATTTCATCTTAAAAAAAAAACACCCAAAACAAAAACCTCTGTTATAGCTACTTTAGCAAAGTCTGGTCTGCTTTTAACTTGCTAATCTTCAGAATGCACAATTAGGAGTTGTCACTTGCTGCATCAACATACATTTCTCACTTAATAGAGCTCATTGATTGTGTTTGTTTCTTTGAAAATTCTCTCTCCTGTAATTTCTGAATAAAGATAACTTGGTGGGATAGTTCCCAGCTCAGTCCAAATCTGGACCTTCAGCCTCGTGGAGAATGAAGGGGACTCCATGGGCCTGACTTAATGTGGAGATGTGAGCAACTAAATGTGGAGGATTCATGATCTGAGTCCTCCAAAGTCTTGATTTTCTGGGTGTTTTAAGAGGAGCAGGTGTATTCTTAATACTTTTTAAGTTGCTTGGCTTAGAAACTGCTTTTTCCCCGCATTGTTGGGGCAATGAAGAAGGGTTGCATATTCTAGAAAAAGACAGCAAAGAGAAGAATGAAAGAACAGGTGCGCATTTCCAGGCCAGAGGGGTTGGTTGATGGAAGGAGGCAGTGGTGCTCAGTTCTTCCAGGTTATCTGGGTAGAGGAAGATTTACATTCTGCTCAGAAAAATGTTACCTTGTTAAAATTTTCTTGTTTCTTTTTCACATTCTACTACAGACCTATACCTTTTTTCTGTCTAATATATATATATATATATATATATATATTTTTTTTTTTTTTTTTTTAATTTTATTTTTTTTGTGGCTGTTGTTGCCCTGTGTTTGCTAAGCGTGCTCTACCACTGAGCTGCAGCCCAGGCAGGTATTTAGTTAGGATGAGCTTTGCTCAGTTACTCACCTTAAGGTAATTTTGTTGGGATTGGTTCCTTTGTCTAGCGACCTCTTAATTTACTTAAAACTTTCAGTTGTAGTATCTGTCCCTAGGAGCCTTCCCTGAGTTCCTTCAGCCCTGGCCAAGTGACTTGATCCTCCTTGAGGCTTTTATATATATTTTTTCCTATCATAAATTTGACCACCTCCTTGTGAAATTGGCTAATTCTACATCTGTTTTAGACTGTGGATTCCATGGGGATAGAGCCTGGTTTATTTTCTTTCTAGTTTGAAGACCTCATCCAGAGCCCGGTGTATTGAGGAGCTCTACTGCTGGATTTTGGATTGACCTGTTCTGCACTTCCTTCTGAGCAGCACACTAGTCCATAGACTATTCTGCTGCACCCTTGACCCTTACATCCTTAGTTTGTTCTGATTCTCAATAATCTTATCTATTTTGCTGATGCCAGAGCCCTATCCACTCCTTTGATCTCTCAGAATTCTAGTTACTCTAGCTCTGTGATTTTGAATGCGAAGGAAAATTTCCTTGCATTGCTAAAAAACCACAATAGAAGTCTATGCTTTTAAAAATTATTATTTTTTGCTTCTTATCTTTTTCAAAACTTCTCCTCCCATAGCTGCATACTTTACTTAATTAGAAAAAGTGTTGAATTTTATATTTAGCCCACATCCTCAGTTCCAGTGGGGAAGCTTTATTTATTCCTGATAACATAGCAAGAAGATATGGTATTATTCCCATTTGTCCCCTTTTCAGAATATAGAATATAGGGCACAAATACTACAGATAAAAAATGAGCAATGAAAGAAGCATTGAGATTAAAGGCAGGAAACCTGCACCCAGTGCCTTCTTAGATTATGTTTTTAGCTGTGTGTGTGTTTTTTTTAAACAACTTCTGAGGGAATTTATATTTGCATTCAAGTTCAGAGAAATTTTGACTTCTATTTCTCTGAATTAATAAGGAAGCTTCTCTTTTTGATAGCCCTGGAAGGTTGTTTTTACTTTTCTTCTTTTGGACCAACGTTTTAATGCCTTTTTCCCTTGGTAATTACTAGATTTAACTTCTGAGCCCTGAAATGGAAAAAAATATATATTTTCCTTGTTAAAATTTTCTTGTTTCTTTTCCACGTTCTACTACAGACCTATACTTTTTTTCTGTATACTTTTATACAGCTTATGTCTGTATACACTCACACTTGGCCTGCAGAGGAACTTAAACAGAGACTTATGATATGACTTAAGAACTTCCTTTAGATTTCAGCCTTGCATCAATTGCTAAATCTTGACAGATCATGTTTATCAGGGCTGGGATTCTTTTATTTGAGGTTTTAAAATATACTTTTTAATTTCAAGTATTCTCTCTTATTTGTTGGCTTTTGTCCTCTTCTGACCACGCTTTCAATTTTCTGTTAGAAAATATTGTCAACGTGACATCAACAAAAAGCAGGGAGAATTTTTCTATTTCTTTTTTTCAGAAGAAAGACAATTTTGGAAGGGGGTGGCTACTGGGGGTTGAACGCAGGAGTGCTTTACCACTTAGCTACATCCCCAGCCATTTTTATTTTTGTTTTAAGACAGGATCTTGCTAAGCAGCTTAGGCTGGCCTTGAACTTGCAATCTTCCTGCCTCAGCCTCCTGAGTTATTGGAATTATACCATTCTCAGAAGAAAGACAATTCTTGACCTTATATTGTCTTGATAATTCACATTTTAGAACCCTGATTATAAATGTTGTCAGTACAATTTTTGCAAAGTACAAAAAGTGTAGAGAATAAGTGATTCTGATTTTTGCCATTAGAATACTTTTTATTAGCATAAATAATTTCTTGTAAAATCCCTAATATTATTCATTAGTGGGCTTGACAATTCATTTAGGAGTATTCTTAGATGGGAGTACTAGGAGGTAGGTGGTGTTATGAAATGTAGCTTGTGAAGACAGATGGCTTCCTTCTCAGTGGTATGTGGTGAGGGCCATCACAATCATTTTAGCACACTTATTCTGCCATCTTCACATGCATGTGCATATTTTGAACACAGCAAAGACCCCTCTGGTGGTCTTTTTGTCCTGAGAGCACCTGAGCTAAGTTATTCCTAGGGCTTACTGTTGCCCAGATATTGCCAGTATCTGTATGTATCCTACAATATTATTTTGAAAAGCTTCAGTCATCTTTGATAAATTTGTATTAAAAATATTTTTTTTTCCTTTAGGAAACCCTAGATGGATCTTATATTTCATATATGTCAAAAATTGCCTGGTATAATTTCTTTCGAATTAGCAAGGCACTAGATTTTCTAGAAAGTGGTTTGGCTATAAATATACTAAGCTTGTGTCAGTGAAATTAATGTAAGTATATGAAAGTGGTCCTATGCTATAAGAAACTGGACTTTCTGGGAACTTAGCACAATTTTGAGGCAGCTGCAGGGTGACCAGCACTTAGAGGTCATCTTCCTGTTTGTAGAGGTGTTGGGGCAAGAATGATTGAAAGTCCAGGATACATTTAGAACCCTGGTTGGGCCATGCTAGAGCTTGTTCAGAAAGTGGAAGGATGATCTGGACCAAATGGAGGAGTGGGCACTCAGACCCTGATCTCTTTACCCATCTCAAAGAACCAGAGGTCCCTGCCAACCAGGAATTATGGGAATGGGCTGAGGACCCCACCTCTCCCCTGCAGATGAAATCCACTAGCTACTCAGAGCTCTGTGGATCTAGAGGGCTACATATGCTCTCCCACCCCAGGCCTCCCTTGCCAGTTGCACTAGTTGTGATAGGGATTTCTAGATGCCCCTAACAATGTGTTTGCAGCTCTTGTAGAGCTCTTCAAGTATCTCATACTCTTTTGAAACTGTGGCCAAGCTCCTAGCTCCTAAAGGTTCTACGCCTTCTAGTTACATATTTCCACAGTGGGGCGGGGGAGGTTTTTATTGGTATCCTAAGATCCTCTCAAAGTCTGCATGTCATGAAACCAGAAAATGGACTGGCTGTAATTCCCACATCATTTTTGCTTTAGTCTCATAACAAACTAGTTTTCTCCCTTATTTGCCTCCACTCTTTTCCTCTCAGTGAGGGTTTTTGTTTTTTTTTCCTTTCCTCACGGACTTCTGTTCATTGGGACAGTCGCCATCCTAAGCTGTTTTTAATGTTCCTGGAAATAACTGGATGTCGTTTATTTCCATTATTGCATAATAATAAAGACTGAAATTGATCAAGTGCTTACCAAATGCTAAAACACCAGTTGAAGGGCTTTGAATGTATTAATTCTTTAAAGTGGAGAGTAATCCTGTGTGCAAGAAAACATCACCTCCACTGTGGCACAGAGAGGTCAAGTGACTTGCTGGAGGGCCATGTGGTGTGGTCTGGTAGTCACAGAAGCCAGGTTTAAAATCTTGGCTATCTGGTTGCAGAGCCTGGGTTCTGAATTCCATCTTTTGCCTCTCAACAGCACGAGTTATAAATATTTTCAAAGCCTTAATGAAAGGTTTAGTTCATCTAACGTATCCTAGGAACTTCTCCCTAAATCCCCGTTTATTAAAAGGCTAGGTAAAAGATATAAGAAAAATCCAAATTAAAAATTAGCCTTTCTTCCCCTTCTATTTCATCCACTTTAAAGTCAAACAAGACAAACTAGGTTCCAAGATTCTGACATCTGGGTGCCAAATTGGGGCTCTCCTCTGTAAGGATTTCAATAGTAAAGGAAACATATGGTTCACTCCTGAGTCCTTTGATGAGCAGAATTCAGATGTATGAGAGAAATATTCAAAAACAATTATTGAAAAAGACAGGTACAGAAGAGAGAGACTTTTGAGTTGAAATAAAAGTTTAAAAAAAATGTCACTAGCATCATAGCAGAGCTTTTGAGAGTTTTCACAGAGAATGTATTGAATAACATTTATGGAAATAATGGTTCTGACTTCCAGATGTGAAAAAAAAATGGTTGCAAATAATGTGAAATTTATGGTGGGGTGTGAGTAGAGTATAAGATATCAGATCTAATATATTTTAAAAGTGTTTTTCTTTAACCAAAACCCAGATCATATTATAAGCCTCTTATATTTTCCTCATTAGCTATGGATTACAGCCACCAAGCAAGGGGTGAAAGCTGGAACATTCTTTTGGTCTGTGTAAGTTACCTTTATTTTGTCAATGTTTATAAAATTATAGTTATGATTCAGTTTACGAAACATTAATTTAGTCTTGATTTTATTTCCATAAAATATAAAAATGTCAAAATTTTACATATTTGTTGATACCTAGAAATATACCTCAATATCTTTTCCTGAGGTCCTTTTTTTTTGTTCCTCTTCTCTCCTCCTTCTCTAACCTCTCTTCCGTATTCCTCCTTTTCCCTATCATTGAAGGAGAGAAGATTTTCTCTTCTTCTAGCCATCCATTTGCTCTTTCTACCCCGTCTTTAGAGGTTTTTGGTAACTTGCCACCTAGGGAATGTATATTTCTCTTAGAATATTTATTGCTGTGGTCTGCACTATCATTTTCTATAAACATATTTCAACGTGCTATATTTATTTTGGTTCACAACTTTAAAACTCTGGTGTGGTCTCAGACAGCTAGGGAGTTGATGAAGTGATCTAGAGATTGGGGATTCCAAACAAGAGATAGGGGAACCCTTTGTTTCACCCCACTTTTCCACTGAACTCCAAGATTTCTCTAATAAGAAAGTACTTCTCATCCCTGCAGAGGTGACAGGATTAGTAGTTGAAGTTTGTAAGCCTTAAGATGAAACTTACCTAATAAAATTGTCAACATGTTGATTATTTTCAAAGGCTTCTTAGTAAAAAGAGAAATCTGTTTCAACTTTCATGGGGATTTTGTTCCCACTGAGATGTTCTTTCCATCTTTTTTTTTTTTTTTTTTTTTAACCACCTACAGCTATTTCCGTATTTGCCTCTTATACTTCAACACAAATCTGACTATTATATAATAGTAGTGTGCTAAGAGCAATCACAGGTTCATATTAATCCAGAATGGTACCATATATATTCTCCAAGTCAGGAATAAAAGTAGCTTTTTCAGATTTGAAGGGCTAAATTGAAATTGAGTTGGGTGATTTAAAGCTAAGACAGAGTGTCTCTAAAAGTTGTTTTTTTTTTTTAAGAGGTTTCTGAGTTGAGAAATAAGCATGGATATGTTAGAAAAGACACTGCTGAATGTAGGTGGGATGTTGATTTACCAATTTAATCATACACATTACATTTTTTTTAACCCTTGACTATCACTGATGCTTATAGAAGTGGTTTCTTTTGCTCTTCAACTCCTTGGCCTGTCAGAATGGAGGGGGAGCCAACAACATAATTAATACTTGGTCCCACCCTGCCCCCCTGGAAATGTTACACAGCTTCCTTGAAAAGGCCCAGTGTTCTGGTTTTGAATGATAATTTTCTCCACCCATTTGAAACCACTCATGAGAAGGTGGCTGTTGTGTGCTTCTTTGAAAGACATCTGTAGTTTTGCTTTGCCTCTCAGACAATTCTTTTATCTCTGTATCCTGGAAGTGACTTGGATTTACTTTTTTTCTCCTCATTTTTGAAGTTTTTTATAACCTTAAAAAAATCTGATCATACTTCCAATTATTTAAGGAAACACAGGTCAAGGAAATCTACACAAAGTACATTCTGCAAAATTTAAAATTTAAAACCAGATTCAAATCACAGGCTTAGACTTTGAGGCCATCTTTTTAATATGTTGCTCTACTGCAGGCTAGATGTATATTCTTGCTTTTTAAATGATAACATTTCATTCCAAAATCATCCTCAGTAGAAGTTCCATCATATTCTTTTATGTCAATTCATATTTAAAGGGTGTTATTCCCATTATGTATGTGTGTGTGTAGACTGGGTCTAATCCCAGCTCTGTTACTTACTGAGATTGCTGACCTGGGACAAATGGTGTTAATCTCTCAACTAATCAATGTTCTCATCTTTTTTTTTTTTTTTTCAATGTTCTCATCTCTAAATGGGTGTTGTAGTACTTTCATCACAGCATATTGTGAAGATAAAATGAATCAATATATTTAAAGTATAGAGAGAACAACCAATAAGCAGTATTTGTTTACTTATTTGCATTATCTCTTTCAACATTGACCAGACAATGTCTGTACATACCCTGAGGTATTTTGTTTCCCTTTACCCCTAAATACTTCTTCTAGTCCTCCAATGCTCCATTTTCATTTTTCTCCCTTGTCTGATCATGTCTCATGCACTTGGTTTCACAACACATTCTGAATCTATCAGGGATGTGAAGACAGGGATATGTACCCTGTTTTGCTTTCGGCTTGGTTTTTTGCTTCCCTTGGTCTAATTTATTTGCTGCCTCTGCATTGTATTTGAAACACAGTTAATGGCTAAGGATCATGTCTCTTTGGTCTGTGAGGTTATTTCAAAGTGATCATCTAAAACTCACAGGAAGCCACTTTGTCCAACTCATTTAAGAGGTTAGAATACAAAGTAAAGCCTAAAGTCGTTAAATGTTATCCCCAAAGTCATACCTGGGGTGGATACTCAGACCTCCAGAGTTTTCATCGAATGCTCCTAACACACACACACACACACACACACACACACACACAGAGTTGATAACTATTAGCTTATTTTCCCCAAGAAGAGGACAATGACACCTCCATAATAGGATTTTTGTGGGAGTGTCTATATCTTTATTATGTTTACACACACACCTGGGCCATAATATTCCTTTAACAAACATTTCACAGATGAATGTATCATCTCTGTGGACCTATAAAACCAGTATGTAATGATAAAAGCTAACATTTCTCTAAACACTTTCTATGCCCCAGATATCATTTTAAGCACTTTTCTTGTCTTTTAGTCTTTACAATACCCTTATGAGTAGGTACTGCTACTATCATTTTACAGAGGCACCCAAAGATTAGGTAACCCACCGACATCTTAACTTGTAGGAGTCAGGATTTAAACTCACACATTTTGGCTTCTGAGCTGGTGTTTTTAATTTTCAGTCTATTGTTGTTCAAGTACCCTGTCCAACAAGGGTGTTATAGGGTAAGCATTCTGAACTTGACAAAAAATTTCTAGTAAGCTGGTATTTTTCCATTAGCATTGGAAGTGGGTTCATCGGAGTCCATATTTGTGGCTTAACACCAATCACATAAAATAAAGCAGCTTTTAGGTAGAAAGTGAAATCAGGAAAAATGAAAAAGCTATGACACTGGCTTTTTTCTTTTTAAGTTAGGAAAGAATTCAAAATATGTAATCATAATTATTTTGTTCAGATAAAAAGGATTTCTAAAGCTGAAGAATTAAATTCCTTAAGTGATTAACCTGGCTTTGCTATGCCTATTTCTAATTCAATTATAAGATATAATAAACAGGGTCACATTTATTGAACAGCACTGTGATATATTTAAAGCAGGATTCATTTTATGATAAACATGATTTTCTGGTGTATATGATAGCTCTAGACAGAGAGGATGCCAGAAGAATGACAAATACCCAGAGGAGAGATGGGTGGAGCCGGTGGGGGAGTGTGGTGATCGTGGGGACAGGGAGCGGCTGCTGGCCCACAGCCTCTGCCAACTCTGCCTTCCACCATGACTCTGAAGAGCTGTCTTTCTCCTAGCTTTCTTGCTCATGTCTACCAGGAGTGAAGTTTCAATGGTTCACCCAATGTTCCATAACAAATTTTCCTTACCACAATCAAACTTTAGTTTTCATCTGAATTCATCATGAACATGCTTCTAATGCCTGGTCTTGGTAGGGGAGTGAAAAGCATTTTGTGCTCCAGGTTAAGAAAGTAAGCAAATTTCCCCAGAAGCCAAGGGATGGCTCAGACATGAATATCCTAATGGAACTCGGCTCAAGATGCAGTGCTATCATGGTAGCCAAGAGCTCTTAAAGTTGGTGCCAGGCTTAGGTTAATTATATTTCAACAGAGGAATGAGACTTAAACACAAAAGTCATTGTGGATGAAGATTATACCCTTTTTGTCAGTCTCATAATTATATGTGCCTATTCCTGATAGATTTTTATAGAGATGGAAGAGAATTTCAAGAATACCTTCCCTAACCCATTATTTTATACAGGAGGAATTTAAAGTTTCAGGTTAGATAATGTTTTTAAAGTTATGTAACTATTTAGAGGCAGAATGATGACTAATTATGATCATTAATAAAAGAATGATTTTAGCACTTAACTGTGTACCAGGGACCCTGTGTCTTTTAGTTGCCTCGTATCACTTCATTCATAGAAACAAGCTGTGTGGTGTGCTTTGCTGTTATCTTTGTTTTACTGATGAGTTAACTGAGGCTGAGAGAGGTCAAGTGGCACAGAGGACAGCAGAGGTCATCCTGCTGGAAAGAGGCAAAGTGCGCATGGAAGTCCTGTTCCCTCCTCGGTCACTGCTGATGCCAAACCCACTGAACAACAATGATTCTGAAGCCATGGTCTTTTCTACTTGTAGCCGAGTTTTTCATCAGCAAGACAGGTTCCTCATTGTGACCATGAATCAGAATTTCCAGTCTAGTCTTCTGTGGAAGAGGTTGAGCAATGTAATATGTTACAAATGGAAATGGAAGTTTAAATGCTAATTCCAAAGAGGGCCTTTTTACTACAACGAAGTGAAAACAGATGGTGGCAAATAGAGAGCATTTGGCCTGGGTGCAAGAGCCAGGGCTCACAGACTTGAGTCTGTGGAAAGACACCTACCAACATGTTTTGCTGGTTATCCCCTACAGGGCCATCCCCCATGAGCGGAGAATATTGACCATCCTGCAGTGGCTCACCCTGCCAGATGACGAGAGGTATTTGCTTTCCTCTGCCCTTCTCTCTTCTTTCTTCAGTACATTTCCATCTTTGGTTAGACTTGGGTGAAATACTAGATGGACTGTGAAATAGAAGTGCAGCCAAAGATTGGTATTATTAAAAGTTTTGTGGTTATTAGCCTTAAGCGTTATTTCCCTAAGAAGGATTTGGTGATTGGGGACCATTTAATTACATGGATTACTACAGCTCTTAATCCTGGCCACTACAGCAGAACCGAAGGGAGTTTCTGGCTTTGATAAATGAACTATCAGCTTCTCAAAGACCGAGAAGCACTAAGACCAACTTTGCACTTGAACAGAGGAATAAATCTTTGGCTGCAGATTGCATGGCCCATGTGAATTACCACTGGGCTCTATTATCTTGAGATTCTGAGTACATGCTCAGGGTTTCCTTTGTGACTTTTAATTTCTGAAAGTGGTACCAGGCAGTTACCACAGTGAGGGTGGTGTAGTGGGGTGGCGGGTGTTGGAGCATTAGGGGAAAAAAAAAAGTTTTTCCATGGTAATACTGACAGTGGTTGAGAGATTAACGAAACTTGAAGGATTTTTATTTTTTAAAGTGAGTAGGGATATTTGATATTCTTTGTTGTGTGTGGTTTGGGGAAATTATAAACCTTCCAATCTTCTCGTAGGCCTTCGGTCTATGCCTTCTACTCTGAACAACCTGATTTCTCTGGACACAAATACGGCCCTTTTGGCCCTGAGGTTAGTAGTTTATCATCTGCTTGAGGGGAGTCTGTGCCCCTGGGCTACTTGACCTACTGACCGTATTTCAGGATTTGTACAGTCTTTGGGAGCGTTTGTAATCTACAAGGTTTATTCAGAATTACAAGACTAAAACATTTTAAAAAATCTTAAATATACTTGTTTCTCTTACAGGAACTACATTTCAGATTCCTTTGATATTGAAACATATCCTAAACTTGATGCTAATGGGAATGGGGTGTATTGCAAGCTTGCAGGTATCAGTTACCATGTGAAGAATTGGGAAGGGTTGGCACCAGCCACCATCGGAAAGGAGTGGAAAGGCATATGGGGATGAAACCTCCAGTATGCAACATTACAACTGAATTTTAACACCTTTAAAATGAGTATGCTGTTCAAAGAGGGTAGGTCAGTTAAGTAGCTCTGATAGCTTTAGCAAGTATAGCCATCCTGGTAGTTTATAGTGTTGGATGCTTTTTATTTGGTACATTTTGACAATTGGTATTTATACTGTGAATCCATCACCACATTCAAGGGTGTGTACATATCCATCATCCCCCGAAGGTTAAATTAATTCTTAAATGAGAGGAACATGCTACCCAATGAATCTGTTCAGCAGAGCTGTGAGGTACCCTTTATCAAGTGCTCAGTCATCTTAGAAGACAGTCTGTTTGTAAGGTAGGAGCCAGTAAAACTTCAAATTCAGAAGATGGGGAAGAGGAATAGCTTTGTTTTGTTATGTTCCTTTTTCATCCAGGCTGGAATCCTCCCAATATTTCAGCAAAGATCATTTTAAAACACGAAGTCTGCAAATCTAAACCTTTTCATATTTTAAATGTCTTTAGCATTTCTTTCCTAACAGGGGTGATATGTCTACATGAACATAGTAAAACTTGATTTCAGCTGAAAAATTGTTTTAAAAACTCTTTGAAGGAAACTGCCTCTAATTCTCTACTAGCCTATGACAACTGTTGCCTATAATTAAATTCACTGGGTTCAGTATAAGGCTGAGTTGGAGATACAGATAGATGTATCTTAGCTTAAGTAGTTTCGAACAAATTGCAGCCTGTCTAAATAAAGGCAGTAAATACCAAGAAGTTATAAGTATGTTTGAATGTTCAATTATCCATCAGTTCAGTGGTCAGTGATTTTTTTTTTCTTTAAACATTAGAAACTAACTGCTATGTGAAACCATTCTTTGTCTTAAATCACAGAAGTCATATAAATCTGGTGTTCTTTTTCTGTTCCTTTGATGTTTAATCAGTTTTGCATGATTATGAAACACAACTGATAAAACAAGATAAACATCTGCATACATGAAACACAAATCTTATTTTGCAAGGAAAGAAAAAGAATGGTTGTTTTATCTTTAGGATGAGTTTCTTTGAGATTAATCTAAAGTGAATAAAAGGAACCACATTTTATTAAAATGTTAAAAAAAAAAAAAAACCCTTACGAAACACCTAAGCAGTTCCATGTGCTCTATGTAAAGTTCAACTTTGCTTGAATATTATCCCTTAAAAGACCCCAAGGGTAGGTAGAACAGAGATTTGGGTACAGCTACTCTTTTAAAAGTAGGAGACTGGTATTGGAAGAACTTTGGGCTGCTCAAGTGGCTTCACAGGTAAGTGGAGAACCTGGAGACAGATCCTCAGAACTTCTGGCTCCCATACCACGACCTTCCTGTGGAAACTTTTTTTTTTTTGTACTGGGGATTGAACTCAGGGGCACTCGACCACTGAGCCATATCCCCAGCCCAATTTTGTATTTTATTTAGGGACAGGGTGTCACTGAGTTGCTTAGTGCCTTGCTTTTGATGAGGCTGGCTTTGAACTTGCGATCCTCCTGTCTCAGCCTCCTGAGCTGCTGGGATTACAGGTGTGCGCCACCGTGCCCAGCTTCATGGAAACATTTAATGCTCTTTCAGTCCAGGGAACCAGCAAAGTGGTCTGTTAATAAGTGTGTTCAAATCACACAGGGTATTTTCTTTAATTCAGATGTTGGCTTTTAACAGTACAGATGAGGTATCACTCATTTTATACTTTAGGTTGTGTAGTTTAACAAGAACTGTTCTTTACCCATGAATATCTTTAGAATTCTAACATGTACTTCAGTTATAATTACCTATTGAAAGTAGATATGTCTGTGTTTTAATTAAGAAACAAACATTTTAAGTTCTGAGCAATGAATGAATGAAGTGTGATACAGAATGCTTTAATTTGCTGTAAAGATGGTTTCTATGTCCAGGAGTGCTCATTAATATACAAATGGATCTTTTCCTAAAGTATTTTTGAATTAAAAGTTAGAACTATTCATGTTATGTTCTTTTTAGCACTAATATTTGCAGATGGGTGTTTCCTCATATACCTACTGAGTAAATACTCTTTATTGGATAATTTAGATGATCTCTTCAGTAATGGTAATCTGATCACCTGGTTGATTTTTCTGATAAAGGAGGGAGTATTTTCAGGTTTCAACTATTTCTCATATGGTTCTAGGAATCTTATTCTAACTAAAAACAAGACGAAACAAAATAGTTTACACTTTTAAACACAAAACCAAAGCAAGTGAGCAAAATCTTTCTTTGGGCATGGACTAATTGGCTTATATGCCTATGTGTCCTATATGCAGATTAATACATAGATATCCCTATATATCATTGTATACTTTTATGGGACATGAAAAGACTATACACTTGAAAGACTACTTTTCAAACCAATAGCATGCTATCCTTGACATATGAGAAAATAACTTGCATTTGAAATTTAATTGAAATGATTCTATCTAACAGAATGTTGTATGCTACAATAAGATGAACTCAATTGGAGTTTGTGCTTGAGTACCCTTTTCAGGATGATTCTCAAAGGTATTATTAAGATGACCAAACACTGGGCTAATGGCATTCAGAAATGGTGTATTGCTCCTGGTTTCATAGTGTAATGGTGAATGTTCAAACATAAGCTTGCTTTGGATTATTGGCGCAACCTTTTTCTCTTAAATCTTGTATGCCTTTTCTGTGACCTCTCGTTGGGCTGCTCCTCCAGACCTAGAGGCAGAGCTTTGGCTGGCTAGTCCCTACCTTCAGATGGCAACATATCCTTCTGAAAAGCAGGGAAATTTGCCCCTCTCCTTCCCATCCTCCTAATAACCTCAGGCTAAAACTTCTAAATCAGGCTACAGTATGGCTGGTGAGTGAAAACTTAGCTTTCATCTCCCTCTAACATTTGAAGAAGGAAATACATGCACTGTAATCCCTGGATGAAAACTCAGTTTGACTAAACCCTACTTCTCCTGCTCCTCTAACCTGCTGCAATCGGAAGGGCTCACCTTGGGAGTCTTTGGAATGTTGAAGTCTCTTGCAAGTGGCCTGGTGTTTGATGGGCAGATTTGAGTGCTAGCAGAATGTACTTGGTGATCATGAAATGGAAAATCCTTCTTTTCCTTTTCTTGCTCTTCTTGTGGAGATTTGCCTAAAATTAGAGGCATTAAACCAAACCAAATCCAAGTCTCTGGGGCTGTGTCTTTAGATCGCTTTGCCGGAGAAAGAGGTTGAGACAGAAACAGAAGAGCCCTTGCAGTCGCTTGCCCTGGAAACCATGAGAGCGCATGGCAGATGTTCTCCTTCTTGGATACACTAACACTGTTCCTCCTCCTGCCCCTTCCTGCATCTGAATGGCTCTTGGAACAGTCCTGCCAGGAGAGAAGTTAGCTACGTAGACAGCAGAGCTTGCTGCTTTAATTCACCTTTGCACCATCAGCAAATCAGGGGCCTATTTTTCTCCAGCATTTGGAGGTCCCAAAAGGTTATCTTCTTCACTCAGTTTAAGTATCAGACTTCACTGTTCTCTGGAGTTTGAAACAAAATCTGTAGCACTGCCACCCTCCCAATCAGGGGAGGAGGTAAGGGACAGCAAAGATGTAAATAAAGCCATTCTGGCTCTGTAGACCAAGACGAGGAAATCTTGATGAATTGTCACATTTTATCTAATTTTCAAAGAGCATTTCTAAAAATACAGTATTATTCATGTCAAGTTCCTCTGTACCGGAAACTTTGGTTGTCAGTGAGAGGTTCTCTCTCCTGCCGGAAGTCCCGATGTGTCAGATGTATTCAGGACCAAGGAGTTGTTCATGCTTCATTCTATCCTTGGGTTAAAAAATTTCCATGATCCTTGCCAATGAAGGTGACAGTGCTGTGACCAATTTAGTGGCATGACAGTTAGATACTCATGCTTCTCTGAACTGGAACCACCTACATGAATTGTATTCCCATCTTGAGATGGCCAAGTGACTAGTCTTCTCTCTGGTGATAAACTAGTACTTTATTAATGTAGAGCTTTTTGTAACCAAGGATCAGCCTCTCCCTAATGCAGGAGTGCTGCGTTACAGGACTTCTCTAATGTCACCTTTGGGTGTATCTATGAGCAAGCTTGTCAGCTAAAAGAAGGCCATGTGACTAGATTGTCTTAAATTACATTCTTGTTCCCAGCAAAGAAGCTGAGACAACAGCTTCAAGACCCGCTTAGGAGGCTTCTCTCCAGAGAGGTCCTTGAATCACCTGTCCTACCCATGTGTTCTCACTTAAGCAGCCTTAGTCTTTCTAAGTCTCTGCTGACCCCAGACGGAAAAGGTGAGCTTTATCATCTGACCCAGAGGGACAGACGGCCTCTGAGTGCAGACATCTCTATCCGCCAGTACAGGAGAGTAGTTATGGCCCATCTCTTACTCCGGCTAAGAGACCTAAGAGGAAAGTTGCCCCTAAGAGGAGACAGGAAAGACCCGTTGCTCCTCCAAAGAAAAGAAGAAGAAAATTACATAGGATGGATCATTATGCAGCGGAAACTCGTCAGGACAAAGTAAGTTTATCTATTGTTCCAAAGCTTTGTGGCGGGCACGTCTGAGTTGAAGGTTTCCTCCAGTGCTTCGGTTCGAAAATTGGCTGGATACGCGTTTTAGAAAAACTCTGGTGCAATGTCCTTGGCTTGGAGTCCAGAAGAATCTGGTACTTCAAAGGTGAACACTGATATGAAGACTTCCTGAACTTTTGCATGACAGAAAAAAAAAAAAAAGGAGTCTTTTACTTTATTTAGGGTTCATTGTCCCTAAACTGGCATTAACATTGAGGCTGGAGTGACTGTCCAGAGGGCTATTGGTTTTGCTTGCACTTATGCACAGAATTAGTCAATGGTTTGTGACCTTGGTTCTTGAGAATGACCCCACAAGGTAGCAGGAGGAGTTGGCAAAAACTATATAGATTAGAATTCAATAGAAAGTTGACTTAGATTCGTGGTCTATACTCTCAGAGATCAGAAACAATCTTACAGTATGGGCAAGGCAAAAACTGAGATAGAATGAAAGAAAAAAACAATGGGCAGAGTCGTGTGTTTTCTCATAATGACGTGAGTAATATTTACTTGTCCTGGTACACTCAGAAGAGCCTATGGTTACTACTTACCTGAAACCTTCAAATACTTGTGAGGCAATCTCTTATTTAGTTGTCTGAACAGATCAGAAACTAAGAAGTAGTCTCTGGATTTTACCTGAATTGTCTTGATGAATCAAGGAAAACAAGACATTGCCAAGGACTGACATATGTTATGCATTTGGTATTTCTTTATCCAGACAAGGATCTTGGAGGAGAGTGTGCTTTTCTCAGAAGCAAGTGCCACTTAGCCCCACATCTGTTAGTCCCTTCACATTCCATTGCTCATCTCTTTCTGAAACTTTCAGTTCTAACTTATTCCTTGGGATAGGATTTGAAATACTAATGCCTCCCATGAAGGAAAAAGGTCTATACCTAATTTCACTGATGAAACAATAGGAGGAAAGTTCTTGAATCATCTGTGAAGGTGCCAGTGGAAGATAACATTATGTGTTTGAGTAATAATGATATTCAGATCTATTCTGATCTTATCCTGGTTATCTTAGGTAGATGTGTGTGATTGCCAGCTAAACTGCAAACTTCATCTAGAGTACTCTCAAGGGTTTGTCTGATGTGAAGTTTCATATAAGAATCTTTTCATTGCATAGAGATGAGATTGAGAAGGGAGACCTGTAGTGTGTGGGAGTGCTTGAGTTGTTAGACTTCCATCTGAAGAAAAATATGAGATGATTATGTTTCCTAGGCTTTGTAAATGTTCTTCAGAGAAGAAGTGAGTTTTTGTATTAGACTAAATAAGAAACGTTCTAGAACAAAATCTGGTTCATTTTTTTTCAGTTAGGGATCTTGTAAGTTCTCATTTCACTCAAAACCCGCTTGAAAAGAACTAATTGGAGGAACAGTAGCTTGTTTCTTAGAAAACTTCTTCCATTAATCTATTGCTTTTAGAAGCTGATAGTGGATATCTTTGGGACATGTGATGGGTCCCATTAGTGATGTTCTTATTTGTTACCCTATGGGAGCTTATAATTTCATGTAGCCACTCTGTTCTTGCCTAAGTTTGAAGCCTAATGCGATTTTACACAGGAGACAAGGGGCTTAAACCATCCATCCAACTTTCTGTTCACTCTCAAAACTCTTGAACTTAAAAGATGCTGTTGTTACATTCTAGAAAAGGCATTTTACAAAAAATTTCCTTTTCTCCAAAAGGAATTTAATATTTCTATTTTTATATCAAAGAATCTTGAAAAGAATTGGATGAAGAGAGTTATTAATTATCTTGAAAAAAATATGAAGTCCTTAGACCAGATTTCCATTAAAAATGGCAGGAAAATCTCCCCTTTAGACAAAGCTCTGCCACTGGGCCTGAAGTTTTCCTTCCAGAATGTTCTAAGGGTAGACGATCTATGGAAACTGAAAGGTTAAAAACCGAAACAACAAAAACAAAACCTGTGAGAACTAACTTGCTCTTTTTTCCAGATGACAAATCCTCTGAGGGAAATTGACAAAACTGTGGGACAGTTAATGGATGGACTGAAACAGCTCAAGCTGCATCGGTGTGTGAATGTCATCTTTGTTGGAGATCACGGTAAAGCTTTGTTTTTCTTTGCTAATAAGATAGATAAATAGATGCTTCTGAGGGTGTTAAGGAAAGGAACACTGGCACCCCCCCCAGAATCCAAGTTTCTATTCTTCACCGCCTTTTCCTTTTCTTCAGGATAGGGAAAGAAATCAGGTCATGATTCCAAACAACCTGAGATGACCCTGGGTTCTTTTAAATCAAAATCAGGGTCTTCTATATCTTTCTATTCTTTGCACGAGAGGCCTCTCTTCAAAATCTGTCTCTTAAGGCAGGTGATTCACTTGTGATATTAAGGACTTGCTCTGTGAATCTGGCACATCAGGTGATAATCTCCCATCCCTGTGACCCACATCCCCCAAAGGAGCCCACAGATTTTGGGTGGTTGAAATGTGCATGGGAATATGATAAGGAGGCAGAGAGACAGAGTCTTGTCAAAGAAGCCATGTACTACAAGTTCAGCCATTTCCCTAACTCACTGAAGAATTCAAAGCCAAAACCAGCACGCTCTGTTGCAGCAGCAGCAGCTCAAGGAGCAGTTTTCTAAACATTTTATAAAGTAGTAAAACTCATGACAGCTTCACTCTGAGGTGGAACCTTATAAACACAGTATGATGACAGGGCCTATGGGACATTTTTATTTCACAGACATGCACATTGAGTTCGAAAGAGTACCTCTTTCTTTCCTGAACTACCCAATTGAAATAATGACCTTGGAATTCCTAACTGCTCCCTTTTAATAGAGTTTGGAAGATGAAAAACTTCATTGACTCTTTGGCAGTTCTGTTGAGAATAGCTGGTGAATCTTCCTAGTCAAAGCTGGGCTCTAGGCCTGAAATGTTCTAGAAGATCTCTGACAGACTGTGGGGACTAACTTGCTCCCCTGAGGGGGCTAACTGTTACCCCCTGTAAAATTATATTTTGGGAGTTTGGCTTAGTGGGGAGGACAGGACAGAGAATCTGGAGCATGTAACACAGCTGATTCAACTGAGTCGCCCAGATGTGTCAAGAGTATTTGCTCACATGCTGGAGGCAGGTGTCTAAGAAGTAGATTGTCCCAGTGAATCACATGCTGAAGCACTGTAAAAGTCATGGAGAGATTAAAACTTTTTCTCAGTGTGCAGGCTTCTAAGATGAGTAGATCCATTTGGTTTGGGGAAGCAATAGTCTCTCTCTCTCTCCAAAAAGGGAGTATGGTTTAGTGTTGTGGGGTGTGAGCTTTGAGGTCAAAATGAATTTCAGCAAAGCTCAAATTTCATCTTGCCACTATTTGATGCTATACAAGTTCTGGGGCCTCTTGAAGTGTGAGCTCCTCATCTGAAGATGGAGAACACTGACTCTACCCATGCCAAGTTGGTCTGGAGGTGGAACGTGTGGCAATGCCAGAGAAGCAAACTTGCCCTCTGATTTTTGAAAGCAAAGGAGGTCATGCACCCTGGGAGTGGCATGAGTGACTCCCTAGAATGTAACAAGTGGAAGACCCCTCCAGTCCTCCATTAATATCTTATTTGGAGACTTTCCTTCCCTGGGCTAAGATTGAGGTAGTTGAGGATTTTTTGCTTGTTTGCTTTAAAATTTTCTTCCTGAGAGTTTTGAGTGTTAAAGGAAATGATATATAACCCTTGTGCTATGTTGAGATTTGTTTTTCTTTCTTTCTTCCTTCCAATTTATATTTAAGAAAGGATACAGGATACGGATCTGGAATTACAGGAGGTTTTCATTTGAAATTTACCAGGTTTGGGCCACACTGGGCTTTATTTCTTTAGTTTAAAACCTTAGAGAGGGGCTGGGGTTGTAGCTCAGTGGTAGAGGGCTCGCCTAGCACATATGAGGCACTACGTTTGATTCTCAGCATCACATAAAAATAAATAAATAAAATAAAGGTATTGTGTCCATCTATAACTAAAAAAAATTCAAAAATAAAAATAAATAAAATAAAACCTTAGGAAGCCTTTACGGAATCACCTATTTCCCTCTTAGAGAATATGCATTTCATGGATTGTGTAAAGCAATCAAGTAGTCTCCCCTTATCCAAGGAAAGTATGTTCCAAGACCCCAAATGGATATCTAAGACTGTGAATAGTACAAAACCCTGTATATGTCATGCTTTGTAGCAGCCAGTGATACATATATAATTACAATAAAGTTTAGTTTATATATTAGACACAATAAGAAATTAACAATAAAAACTAGTAATAAAATACAACAACTAGGAGAATACACTGTAATAAAATTTATATGAATGTTGCCTCTTTCTTTCAACTAGTATGGGGTGGAGAGCATATACAATGTGGATACGCTGGGACAAAGGGATGATTCGTGTCCTGGGCAGTTTAGAGCAGGAAGGCATGAGATTTCATCATTGCATTCAGAATGGCAATTTAAAATTTACAAATTGTTTACTTTTGGAATTTTCCATTAATATTTTTGGACTATTATTTACCATGGGTAACAGAAACCATGGAAAGCAAAACTGGATGTGGAGGGACTACTGTCTATTAAACCTTCATGAAATTTCCATGTCATCTTATAAATTCCCAAAAGACAAATAAAGGTCTCTACTAGATGCCTTCAGCTTATGATTCCACGTTTGTTTTTATTATTTTTAAAATATTGATCAAGAATCTTTCCTTGATGGAGGGAAGAAAAGAAATTTTGAGGTGGGAGAAAGAACATTGTTTGGTTAAAAACAATTCCTTATCTAGACCCTTTCTGTGCCCTAGTTGCTAGTTTTCTGTTCTAATTACACTGTTTACAACTTGTTTTCAGCATTATTTTGTTTTTCAGTTTGGGTGGTCATTTGAGCTGACATTTTCCTTTCTCATCTCTTGTTGCCAGTATTGTTTTGTCAGTAACATCCAAGGCCACCAGGGGAGACAGAGTGAGGGCTGGTGATTATGTGCTTAAGATAGCAGATGCATGAGAGAGGGGGATGGGGAGGGTGAGGCAGAGAGGGGGGGAGGGGGAGGGGGAGGAAGGGAGACTGAGGGGGGTGAGGGGTGGGGAGTGAGCTGGAGAAAGACATTTGGTAAAAGAGACACAGAACTGTGTATTCCAGTTATTTATACCACCCCCAGCTGGGAGGAGTTTGAAGAAATCTATGTATATATTTTAAGAACAGATCTTTTTCATAATGACTTTAAATTGTTTGTTTTTTAAAAACATGATTAGTTCCTTTGTCTTGATGTTCTTGCTCAATGACTTAAATGATTACTGAGATGATGCATTTTCAACCTTCTGGTGCTTGCAAGATGATATGGCTAAATCAAAGTCCAGTGAAAGGTTACACAGAGAGCCATTGAAAAGTTGAAAGTCAGCTTCAGGATCTCAACTGTGAGGGTTCCTCCCATTAAGAACTAAATAAAGTGAGGCTTGGATGTCATCTTGAGAGTCTGTGTGACACTTTTAAGATTTTAGTTTTAATATTGCCTGAAAATGCTTTTTCCCCCTTGCTTATAGGTATGGAAGATGTTACATGTGATAGAACTGAGTTCCTGAGTAATTACCTGACCAATGTGGATGATATTACTCTAGTGCCTGGAACTCTAGGAAGAATTCGATCCAAATTTAGCAACAATGCTAAATGTAAGTTGATTCTTAAAATCCTTGGTTAGAGTGATAATACAGTGGACTGGGTAAAGGTTTGTTTTCTGGAGCTGGAACACTTTGGCAAAAATCTTAGCTCTGCTCCTGCTTAGCTGAGTGACCTTGAGTAAGTCATTTAAACCCTAAACCTCAGTTTTTTTTCCTCTGATATGGGGAAAATGGGGATGATAAATGACAGTAGCTATTTACAGAGTTGTGGTAATTAATCTATGTATATTGTCCAGAGTAGTTCCTGGCACAGACTAGTATTATGTAAATATTTACTCTTATTTTTATCATGTAGAAATTTAACTTAATTTGAGGCATGTTTATAACCATAACTTTCTGTTTACAAGAGAAGAGTTTTTCAGCATTAAGTTCAGGCTAGTTCCTTTGCTAAAACTAGAGTCTAAAGAGAATCACTTTTGGACACTGAAAGTTTCTAGCCACGTGGAAGGGGGCTCTTCCCCTTTGTCAAATTGATTGGTGGTACCCAGGAGGGAAGAATATTAAGCCCTCGGAATTGGCAACTGTTTTGAAAGATTGGCAGTGAAATTAACAGGAATAATCTTGTCACGTGGGCTTTACATGTCAAGTGATGATATGCCACTAAAGACTTTTAAATTTGTGCACTAAGACATTTAGGTGCTGTGCACCTAGGTTTTGAGAAGTCTATGGTTTTATTGGAGACATGGCTCATTTTGAAAAAAGAACATTTTTGGAGTTTTTAAGCCTTGGTAATAAGAAACCATTGACACCAAGGTTAAAGTTTTAGAAAATTAAATGTTTTTTTCCCAAATTATGTTCCCGAGTCAACACATTTGGGAAATTTCCAAGGTCAGTTCCAAGCAAGGTTGTGAAATAAACAACTCATTGGTGTTTCTTGCTTCTTCTTTCCTTGTCCTTTCCTGTCCCACACAGCCTCCTGTCTTTGCTCACTTGAGATAGGTGGGCTGTTGGTATAGACTAGATGCAAGCAGTTCGGGTACCTCTTGAATTTAGTATTTGCATTTTGCTTAGGTAAGAAAGAGTATGTCTGTTTTAAAAGATATTTTTAATATCTGAAAATGTAATAGGGAGGTTGTCTAGGGGAAAGAGGGACTTTCCTTGGGAAGTGTGAAATCATAACTATCCAAAATGAAATGCTTTACACTCTACAAAACATTATCATATGTGACTTCATTGGGAGAGACAGGAAAGCAGAGTAGCAAAAGGCAAAAATGGTGTCCACATGTCCAGGTTCAAACCTTAGCTCTGCCAGGAACTCACTGGGTAATGTCGGACAAGCTCCTTTAACACTCTGTGCCTTGGCTTTCTGATCTGTAAATTACAGATTGTGGGAAAGACTAAATGAGACATTATGTATATATAACTGACACTGGTGTAACGTGCACTTGCAAATTGTCAAAGCTAAGGAAGGGTTAATCATGATGGTGGTTTGATTGCATCCTTATTTTAGCTGAATATGTACACAATTTTATTTAATCCTTTTAATAGTTCTGTGTGATATGTATTATTATCTTCTTTGTAGGCAGTACAAGTGAATGATCAGAGAGGGGTGAAGGAGCTGGCTCAGAGGACAGTTAGTGGCAAGCTGTGACAGAAACCCAGATTTGCCTATTCTTAATCACTACTCTTTGTTCACACAAGTGGGACTTGGTGGCATACAAAGATGAGGAGGTCAGGATTGAAGGACTGGTGTCTCAAACATGGACTTGGGCATTTGTTATTTTCTAGTAATTCTCTGGAATGTATCTGAGTACAATATTGCCCCATGCTATTTATTTCTCTTCATTATCAAAGAACATGAACTTGCTCTGGCCTCTTTGAGGACTATGGTTTGTGAGGCTCAAAAGTGTAGAGGTTTAAGGATGGCTTTGTCAATCTGGCTGCCTGGGCATCCGAGTGTGCAGCCTTTTCCACCTTCCAAAGCTGGTTGGCTTAGTGAGGATCTGAAAGCATCTCCCTCCTGGGGTGATTATGGACAACCAGAGAGAAAGAAAGCCCTTCCAAAGCTCTTCTAGAGTGACAGGCACGTGGTATGAACTCAAGTTGGGTTAGCCATTATTGTTATCATTTTCACTTTCCATTAAAAGATGCAACTAAAATTTAACCCCGATTTAAATAGGATGGACAGCACATTTTAGTTTTGGATTCATAGCTTTAGAACAAAGATTCCGAAAGTGGTTTTTGAAGTGTATATATTTATACTTCAAGGCAACATGTATTTCCAGCAATATGAACAGACATATATTAATATTTATTAATAAATATTTACTGAGTGCCTACTGTGTACCAGGCTCTGGGGATTGCAGCAGCAAGTGATACACACACTGACATTTAGATGGCAGGGATAGCTACACCGTGACAGTGGGTATCTCTCCTGAATGCTGCTTTCCTTTTTTTGCTGATTCTATAATGACATACTACACCAAATTTTTGGAAAACAAAACAAAATCCAAACAACCTACAATCTCCTCTTTCTCCCCACAATCCCCCCAAAAGAGGACATTCAGATAATATAATCCTGTTTATACACAGCCATCATTTACATAGTTTTGCTTTTAGCTGGTTCAGAGTATTGACTAAAATAGCCTTTGTTTGCTGGTAATGAAAAACAAGAAGATGCATATGTGTGTGCCCATGACCGGAAAGAAACAGCCCCTATGTAATTAGGCTCATAATATTACCATGAAAACAAAATTCCCTTTAAATATATAACTCAATGGATCAGAAGATTCATTTTAAACAGAGTGATGACTTGTTTCAAAGACCTGCAGATAAATAGGAAGTTGTGTTGAAAGCCCCAATGCCCAGTTTAGTTCCTGACATTAAATTGAAAATAAACTAAGTCTCTGCTTCAGAGGAACCATTTTGGGCAACTTGGGAGAAATTTACCTAGTAGTATCCTGATGCTATGAAAGGAGGAATTTCCTTCCAGAAGAGGAGACCTGGACCAACAGACAAGTTTGCTATAGGATTTGTTTCATTTAATTGCATTTTACTTACTGAAATATGAAGCCCCACATAATTATATATATGTTTAAAATAAAATATTAAAGTGATAGTTCCTCTGGGATAAAGAACTGAATATCCTGCAAGTAAATATTGTCATGTTTTTTGAAATCTTTCTCCCTCTCTCTTTGCACAGATGACCCCAAAGTCATTATTGCTAACCTCACGGTAAGTGTTGGAAGCCACCAGGGCTCTGCTCTTCAAGTGCTTTTCTTCCGTGATCATCCCCCACTGCAGGTTGGAGGAACATCTTCCTCACTTTCCTGCCATCTTCTGTATTTGTTGCCCTGAGAGCCTTCAAAACTTCTGGCCTGGGGTCAACTGCAGGCCCCAGAATGGTCTTGGCAATGATGAAAACTGAGACTGTTGGATCCTTCCATTAGAACTGATAAGTCTTCATTCACCATTAATCAAATCTTTACTTTCTCTGAAGCAGATCTGCCCACCATCTGGATCCATTGTTCCCTGATTCAGGGCAGAGACCCTTAAAGCACTAGCAACTTTCCTCAGATAGAATTGTGTGTATCACACCTCCCTTTCTCTACCCCTTGACTTGAAGCAGTTGGGAAAGGCCTTAGGGTATGAGCTGCTCTCAGTTAGGGTCATCCAGAGTCAGGAATGTGTCTTCCAAATTCCTCCCTCCCCTCTGATAGCCTGCTGTACTATCTCCAAAGCTAACCAACCCCCTTTAAACTTATTTATTTTCAGTGTATATTATTTGATAGGGGATAACAAATTCCACTTATTCACGAACAACTCTTTTGTTGAGCTTAAAACTGCCTTCAACTTTTAAGGGAGAGAACACCTAGGACTTCTTCTAGAAGAAAAAGACCAATGTTCATTTTTATTTCAGTGTAAAAAACCAGATCAGCACTTTAAGCCTTATATGAAACAGCACCTTCCCAAACGCTTGCATTATGCCAACAACCGAAGAATTGAGGATATCCATCTCTTAGTGGACCGCAGGTGGCATGTTGCAAGGTAACTTGGGGGCGCTGGCTATCTCTGTTTCTTATCTTTGTAGCCATCTCTTTGGCAACTGGAAATAATTTAAGGTTCTTGGTCATTATTAAAAGAAATAGTTGGACTCATCTCAGTTAAGTGCTGAGATGACGCATCTCCTTGTTCTGGGTGTCGGTGTGGGTGTGTTTGTGTCCCTTTGGAGTGTCTTCATGCATGTATGTGCATGTGTGTATGCTTGTATCCAATTTTGAATTGATATTTTAGCCTTTGTTTTTATTACTTGAACCAGTCAAAATTATAACTTGGACCTTGTCCTCGGACCCAGGATGGATGTGGTCTTGGTTGATGAGACTTCGCCTGTAGCAGTGTTTATGGAGGACTTCAGGAAATACGAATCTAAAAACCTATAATTGTGAATGTGTTTTACATTGCTTTAGTTCCCATGTTTGCCTTCTTTCAAATATTAATGAAGTCTTGCTTTTGAATCTGTGTAGGACATCTGGAGGCTCAGACAGTTTTAAAGAATTAATTGCTAAAAGTTGGTTCATTTTCAACCTGCCCTGGAGGCAGCCATATTCCACACCCTTTTCCTTTAACTTTTCCCTTAAGAACAGGGCTGTGAATCTGTCTTCAGCAATGACAAAATAGCTATGACATGCATCCTACCTAGGTTCTCTACTCCATTTACAAGGGAGACTAGATAATGACAAATTGGTTCCCTAGGAACTTGTATCAATAGAGAATGCTTAGAAAGACGTGTGGCAAACACATAAAGATCCTACTGTAATCTGAAGGGGTTGATAGAGTTAAATATGTGGGGTTATTAAGAGATATATGTGAAGGCCAGAAATTATTGAAATCATGTAGAACAGACATGAGGAGTTAGAAGCATTACAGAGATGTGACCAAAATGGCTTGGTTATACCCTGTGCAGGACCTTTTATGTATGGGGTGACTTGGGGGAAGAGAGAAAATTTGATGCAGTTGTCAGGTTTATATGAAGAAGAGCACATGGGGGTTGAGCAGATGTTATGTGAAAGATGATGACAGCTGTTCAAATTAGCATAGACCCAAGCCAGGCATTTTAATTAGCAGTAAATCTTTTTAATATTAACTCTTTCATGGCTGGGTTACATATGCACATATGTTATTATCATCCCAACTTCAAGATGCTGTTTGGTAAGGGTGGAAACACTTTTGATAGATTTCTTTATTTTCCCCAAGTACTTTGCTTCATTGCTATGTGCCCTGTATGTATTAGGAATACTCATATTAATAAACATAAACTTTATTTGGAAAAGGATCTTATGACACTTATGTAAAAGGTGAATTCCTGTTACAAGGGGAAAGACTAAAGAGCTTGACGTCTTGAGAGCTGTGTTTTCATTTTCTATTTCTTTTTTTTTCTTTAAAATTTTTTTTTTTTTAGTTGTAGATAGACAGCATGCCTTTATTCTATTTGTTTACTTTTTATGTGGTGCTAAGGATAGAACCTGGTGCCTCACACATGCTAGGCAAGTACTCTGCCACTGAGCTACAGCCCCAGCTCCCCCATTTTCTATTTCTAAGAAGAGATATTGTGTAGGATTTTGTTAGATATGTCACCATCAGAGTTCATTTGACTCTCAATTATACAATTATACTCTAGTTGTAGTGTACTTAGAGGCAAATTTGCATACAAGCCTTTTACAGAATCCAGAACTCTAAGCATTGATGAAATATCTCATATTTTTAAAGAGCCTACTGTGTGGTGGTATGTGGTCCCACAGGGAAAGTCTTAGCACTCTGAAGGCTAGTGAGGCACGTGGGCAGGCAGAGCATTACCCAGGATAAGTGTTCTGCGATGATCTACGAGGAGGGTACTGATTCTGTTCAAAGGTCTCCATTGATTGTTATGTGACTGTCAAGGCAAGGATGCTTGGAGAAATGAAGAGAAGTATCTTGTCATCACCACAGGAATGATGCAATCGAAACAGAGACAAACGGGCTTTCAAAAGCCCCTTCTCAGAGATCCTCTGTATCCTGAAACTGGCTTTTTATCAGAGCGATTTCAGGAGAAATCCTGACTGATGATAAAATTGTTTCAATATAGGAAACCTTTGGATGTTTATAAGAAACCATCAGGAAAATGTTTTTTCCAGGGGGACCATGGATTTGATAACAAAGTCAACAGCATGCAGGTACGATCCCAGAACTGTGCGCTGACATTGCGTTTTGTTTTAGCCATTGTTGGAAGGGATGGGAGTGGAGGGGTGAATTGACATCTTGTTGTGGCATTCATACATAGAGCAAGGCTTGCTACTGGATGTCAGGAATGGTTGGTTAATTGTTTCTGTTTGTTTTCTTTTCTTTTGGAAGACCGTTTTTGTAGGTTATGGCCCAACATTTAAGTACAAGACTAAAGTGCCTCCGTTTGAAAACATTGAACTTTACAATGTCATGTGTGGTAAGTCACTCATTAAATCAAAACCAGGGACACCATCTTTAGTTCATGTATGAACTTCCTGAATGTCAGAGAAAGAAATGAGATGTCTCTTCTAAGACCATCTCTGCTTTTTGCAAAAAAAATGTTGTAACTTGCTCATTGGTTCAAAGGACAGAATGTCATCCCTTCTAAGGCGTCTTTGTCTCCCTTCAACAGTTGACTAGCAGGGAGTTTTCACAGTGTTGCTGTTGGCAGCCTCTGGCTGATCCAACATAGCATTACAGTTTGACACTGCTGGTCAGAGACCTGATGAAGCAAGAGTTGGGCATGGAGCTTTTCCCACCTCTCTCTCTCTCTCACATTGCAGCCCAGCTAAAATCTTGCCAGCTTGCATCCTGGCCAGCTATTTATGTGCTCCTAATTATTTTTCTTCCTTGAGCTTCTAGTTGCTGAATGAGGACAACTTTTCCTATTTAGTAAGGGAGTGCCAGTCTGGTGGTTAGAGGGGGAGTCTGTAAGTCGGGTCTCCTGGGTTCTTTTCCCATCTTGGCTGCTCACTCTTCCCTGTCCTGCCTCCCAGCTTAGGCAAGTCAGTCACTGTGTGCCCACTTGGCAACCATTCACTTGCTGTGAAATCAGCCTGTTAGTGTAATAGTGGCACTTCAAGGCACCAGGCCAGAGCCTCCTCTTGTCCCCACATTTGTGTGGAGTGTATTAGAGGACAGGCCTATGGTTATTTATTGACTATAAGTCTTATTTTGGATGAAAAAGTCCCAGAGAAGTGCAGAAAGGCAGTGATATGGAAGCTGAGAGTCCTTGAGATGTCACTATCGCACACACAGGCAATAGCTGTGTAAGACCCTCTTCCTCCACTCTTGTTTTGAGCAGTGCCTCTCTCTATTCATGGTCAAGTGAGGAGCATGGCTATTTCAGGAAGCTGTGGCAAGACATGGTGAGGACAGAATGGTTTTGGGGGTATGTCAGGGATGCTTGCTACCTAACTTTGGTGTTACCTAATTTTGATTTGTGTTTGGGAGTTTACATACCATTGGAGGTGAAAGGTTTTGATTCTTATCATATATCATCAAAAAACATTTAAGAAGAACCTGGTTCCTTTTCTCTCTTTGCATCAGATCTCCTGGGATTGAAGCCAGCTCCTAACAATGGAACTCATGGGAGTTTGAATCACCTCCTGCGTGTTAATACCTTCAGACCAACCATGCCAGAGGAAGTTACCCGACCAAATTATCCAGGGATTATGTACCTTCAGTCTGATTTTGACCTGGGCTGCACCTGTGATGATAAGGTAGAGCCAAAGGTAGAAATAATCTTTATATTTATCACTGAGGAGCTTGTGGGGTTTGTTTGTAACAGCATGTTCAGTGGAACTTTCTTTGATGATGAAGTAGTTTCTCTCTTTGCTGTCCAAAGTGGAGCCGCTGGATGGTGTGATCAAGGGATTTTAATTTTCTTATTTAAAATTTAAATTTAAGGATCCAGCAGTGGCTCATTACTACCATAACACAGACATAGAAATCGAAAGATAAAAAATGTCATTCTATGCATAAATCCCAACCAAAAGCTTTCTTTTCTTCAACCATGGATTGCATATCGATCAGTCATGGTCCTGGCAGGAAACAGGTGGCCAAGATAAAGAGGTTTTGAAAGACACTTTGAAAAGATTGTTTCAATCGTGTTTAATGAGAGAATTATTTACAGAGGCTGGGCAGGGGAGATGGAAGTCAATGAGGAATGGTAAGGTGCTCCGGGGTAGGAGGATAGATCCAGACCCTGAAAAGTGAGGGGTGGGGGCAAGTTATCAGAACACAGAGACCTGGGTAGGAAGGAATTATTAGATTTATTAGCTGAGACCAGGTAGTACATTGCATCTTGGTTGGGAGGGAGACAGGGAATAATACCCTCCTTTCCCTTTCCTTTACTCCCCTACAGATGTCTCCCATTGGTAGAGTCCAACAGGAAATCAGAGGGCAAGTTTGCCTTTTGATACAGTCCCCAGAGGTCAGCCTCCCAGGACACAGAGTAGGGTGGGGAAAGGTACAACACCAATGAGGCAGTATTGTTGCTACAGAGACTACCATCATTCCATGTTTGAACAGTTTTTGAAAACCAAACAAACTAAAATGCTAGGCAATAATTTGCTTATTGACATTTATATTGATCAAAGACCAATATAGCAGCCAACCAGTGCTTCTAGCAGCAGGAATGAACCAATGCTACCACATGCAACTGACACAATGCCAGCCCAAAGCAAGGCAATCTGGCATATTTGTATGTGTGGTGTGTTGGTAACTATATGTGTGATTTTTTTTTTCAGCTTTAGAAAAATGTAAAATATTTCTTCTATTGCCTAGTCTCCATCTCCTTCTGCTTGCTTCCTTCCAGGATTCCTGGGGGTCCAAGGAGCTACATTTGGAGGTTCCCTACTGTAGGAGTTCAGTTTGCTTGTCTTCCTCATTTCCCCATTTTAATCTTCTTCCCATTTTTTTTCTCTTGACAAGAACCAAAGAGACTAGTTATAACAAGGCAGGAAATCTCAGAGGTCAGTTTAGAGGAGTCGAATTGCCAAAGTCAACAGGAAGTCATCTCGTGAGGTGAGGTGGAGGCCAGATGTAGGTTTACAGGAATCAATTGGTTGCCTCTTGTTTTCTGAATTATCTGTCTTCCGAGAAGAAGGAGACTGTTGGATATCTTTTCAAACTGTTTCAGAAAAATTCTGCTTTGTCTTAGTCTATGGCTTTCTCCAAAAGACTACCTTCTTCCTCTAAGACATCCAGACATATTAAAAAAAAAAGTAAAGAATTAAAAAAGTGAATACCTAAGTACACAAATAATAAGAGAGAAAACTTTACAGGTTCAGTGGAAGTTCCATACTTCCCTCCCCATCCTAACTCCTTCCTGCCCAGAGTTTACTGGTGTCCTGAATGTAGTGTGTATATTTCTAATGCATGTGTCTGTACATTTATTTTATATATTTATAGCTCAAGTAATATATGATGTAATCTTTAGTATGTTTCCAAAGATGATTTATGTGTATTTTGCATAGTATAAATTTTTATATGAATGCTATTATACTATTTGAACCCTGCAATTATTTTATTTATCATTGTTGTTTTCATAAAGAATCAGTGAACATTTATTTATAATCCACTGTACATGAAATGCCTTTCAAATGTTATCATTATGATTTTGAGATACATTTATGTGTGTTAATATATTGTTAGCTCACTCATTTTTACTACTTATAGTTGTATTTAATTGTAAAAATGTATCATACTGATTTCATTGATTTTCCTATTTGAGAATGCTTGGTAATTTCAAATGTTACTCTTATGAATGATGCTGCAACAAATGTTATTGTAAATGTATTTTATACATTTAAGCTAAAATGTCTCTAGGATATATGTAGTGACAGATAGAGTCACTGACCAATTATGTTTTAGAATTGTTGACTTATTAATTTTTAGTTCTGGAAAAAGCAATTTCATCCATTAATTTGGAAATTATTTTAGTGTACCTAAGGATTGATCTGAAATACTGAGGCACTATTATAATTAATTATATATATTTTTTCATGCCCAGGTAAACATCATTACCAACATGGGAAGTTGATACATGATTTCCCACAGCTTTAAGGAAAGGAAACAGTCATGGAGAGATTAAAGAAGGTGCTCATAGACACAGAACCACTAGGAAGTGGAGATTAGAATGTCAAAACAGAAATTCCTCAGAATAGTTTATGATATTAACAGAGTTTAAGATTCAGGCAGTATCAAATAGAGAGAGGGTACAGGAAAGAATGAACATTTCTGACTTGCTTTTTTTCCCCCCTGCTTTTCTGGTATTCACTCATGAAGAACAAGCTGGATGAACTCAATAAACGCCTTCATACAAAAGGGTCCACAGAAGGTAAGGGGTTGGTTAAAAAAAATTATATAAGGTTTATTTTCTAGTATGAAAAAATTGGAGACTTCTATTTGCTTCGTAGTATAAGAACACTATTTAAAAAATTCCTACTTGTATTGCAAATTGATTTTTATATCCATCTGATGAAGGGTGTTGGTTTATTATGTGTGCCCAAGATGCCAGCTGTGAGATAGAAAACTGTGACTTGATTTTTCATTTTCTTCAATTGCTTCCAAGCCCCCCGCCCCAACCAGATAATCCACTGTGTATCTGATGGGTTTCAAGGGAAGATGCTAATGGGGACTCCTATACAAGGAATGGTAGTCATAATTATAAATGAGTAGCTGGTTCCTATGCTGAAGCTCACCTACCTGGAGTGTCAGTGTATATGTTGTAGGGAAAGAGACACAGGGGAATCAAATCAGAACTCCCCCTTCAAATAAAGGATTATCTTGAGGCCTGATTTCAATCCCCTCCTATCTTATCCTGCCATCATGTATAACATACATCGATAACAAACATGTATTAATAAATTTTTTCAAACTTGAGATATGACAAAAAAAAAAAAAAAAAAAAAAAAACTCAGTGATTTTTGTCAGGAAAGACACACAAGATTGGGAGCAGTGGTGTATGCCTATAATCCCAGCAACTGGGAAGACTGAGGCAGAAGGATTGCAAATTCAAAGCCTGCCTTGGCAACTTAGCAAAACCCTGTCTCAGAATAAAAAATAAAAAGGGTGAAGGATGGATGTGGCTCAGTCGTAAAGTACCCCTGGGTTCAATCCCCACTACCAAGGAGA